TATTTTCTCTACTTTCGGCATGCTTTAACATTTCCATAAGGATAAGCTAAACAAGGAGAAAAGTATTAATGAGGCTTTAAAATGCCCTCCAGGATGGGCCGCCTGAGTGATTCAGTCAGTGAAGTGTCTGACTCTTGATTTCGGCTCAGGTCATGATCTCACAGTTCATGAGTTCAAGCCCTGCATCGGGCTCTGTGCTAACAGCACAGAGCCTGCTTAGGATTCTCTCTCTCCCTCTATCTCTGCCTCTCTCTCTCTCTCTCTCAAAATAAGAAAAGAAACATAAAAAAATAGAATGGCCTCCAGGCTTTATCTTACTTACCCCACAATCTTTCCTTGGAATTCTGTTCTGCTACCAATGCTACTTAGTAGATATAGTTGTAGTGCACTTTGAAACATGAAATTTGGTGCTGGCAAAATATATTGTTAATGATTTATATAATTATCACTAGATTCACTGTGAGGTCAAGAGAAGGTCCCCCTCCAAGGCTTCTGGTCTTGCTGGCCACCCCGGGCTGCTCTAGGAGTCGGGAGCATCTGAGACCTGTGCCGCAATGGGCCCACACCCAGGGCAGCTGCTCCGGTCTACACCTCCTGTCACTGCTGCTATGGATTTGTCCTGGGAGCTGGTGACATATGATGTATGATGAGCATATTCCACTTTTCTCTAACTTACTGCAAACTCTCCCCTTCAGGGATGAAGCAACACTTCCAGTTGTGATGAGAGACTGAGCAAGAGGAGAACAGAGAAGACTATGAGGCTGACATGGGCAGGGTCCTTAGAGATACTGTCTAGTCTGCTTGGTTTCCTCAGCGAGTTGGAGAGAATCCCTCTCCAAGTCGACAAGCTCCACAGGCCCAAGGATTGTGGCACTGTTGCCTCACAGGGTACATTCTGGCGAAAAAGGCCAACTTTCCCCTCTACCACCCTGGAGTTCCTCCGGAGGTTTGCCTCCGGTCTTCAGAGCCCAGGCCTAATAGGCTGGAGACCCAGAAAGTCGCTTTTGGCCACTCCTCAGGTCTTCACTTCCTGTTCTGGAGCCCGCCAGCTTCCCAGCAAGCCTCATGGTAAAAATCTCCCTTTCTTGCTTGGGAACCCAGACCTCCCAATGGTTCCCAATGGGGCAGACTCATTAAATGTACCATAACCCAACACTGGTGTTTTTTCAGAGTCTGGAATGACTCAGTCTTAATTCAGTCTTCAATAAATAATGTGCTAGAGAGCTTCACTTTGGTTTGTTCATGCATTTCTTACAATTCTCGCTCCTGAGGGAACAATGAAGACAGCATATCCTTCCTTGAAGCCATAGACTCTCAAACAAATATCTCATTTTCCACGGCCTTAGCTTTACTTCTGCATAGGAGCAGTCTACCCCGAAGGTCAATACAATTTTCCACCTTTTTGAAACCATTTTGAATGGACAGATTTTCCTGCTTCTGTTCTTCCCGTTGGTGTTTCAAAGGCCTCAGCACCAAGGTGTGGTATGAGTGGATCTCTGGGTCTAGGCACTTTCTCGTCACTCAGCGGTGTGAGATGGCTTCTTCCAAGCACAGGGTTTCAGGATCTTAGTTCTGAGGTGCAAAGCTGGCTTCTTCCTTTTACATCTTACTCCTGGGAACATCATGAGATGTTTCCTCTAGTGCAGCAACCATGCTACAGTAAGAAAAATATTCAAACTTTTAAAAAGTAAAAGGCTGAGTATTTTATTCATTTATTTATTTATTGTTTTCTCCTTTTTAAAAAAATGTTTATTCATTTTGAGAGAGAGAGAGCAAGTGCAAGCTCTGGGATGGCAGAGAGAGAGAGAGAGGGAGGGACAGAAGATCCAAAGGGGGCTCTGCGCTGACTGCACAAAGCCCAATGCAGGGCTCAAACTCACAGATCGCAAGATCATGACCTGAGTCAAGTTCGGACACTTAACCAACTGAGCCACCCAGGAGTCCCTGTTTATTTATTTATTTTTAAGTTGATTCATTTATTTTGAGAGAGAGAGAGAGAGAGAGAGAAAATGTGTGTGAGAGAGCAGGAAAGGGGCAGAGAGAGAGGGAGAGAGAGAATTTGAAGCAGGCCCTGCACCATCAGCACAGAGCCCCACGTGGGGTTTGAACTCACGAATCATGAGATCATGGCCTGAGCCAAAATGGAGAGTCAGACACTTGACGAACTGAGCCACCCACGTGCCCCAAACTCTGAGTACTTTAAGTAAAACTGAGATATATTAAGTTTACTTTCCCAAGTGCAAAATCTATTCAAAAACAATGTAAGGAACACCCACTATGTGTCAGGCATTCCCCTCTTGCCACAGATTACCTGGGGTCCCCTTTTGACACCTCATCTCATGATGTGAAGCCTGGGATAGCTGTCTAGGGTATCACCACGCAGTGAAGCAAAGACAGGATTTTTTATAAAGTGCAGAAACTGAGAACAAAGGATAAGAGTAAGGTATGACACCCCAAATAGTAAGGCTGTGGGCTATCAAGGTCAGCAAATGCCTAGTTCTCCTTTTCAAATTGGGAGTATCTTTTTGTACTTGTTATTATACCTTTCTTATTCTGAACCCTTAGTATGACCATTTGCCCAAGTGACAATATGTGACAGTGACAGGTGAATGGCACAAGTTTCTAACAAAGTCGCCACTGATGACATGGGACCTCAACCATCATGACGGCACAGCTCCCTCCCTAAGTAAGCAGTGTGGTCAGAAATAAGGCTGAGAATTCTAGCAAGGCCAAGAGGAAAGGGGAGGTGCTGATGGTAAAGTCCAAGGAGGTCTATCTAGTTAACACCCCATAAAACAGCCACCCCCTGGTCTGCCTGCAGGCCTGTGATATGCTCAGAGTGCTTTGGGTGAATCCTATCCTGCTTCAGAGCAGAGCCAGCTTCCAGATAGCCTGGACAGGCAAGAATGGCCATGGCCTGAGATGGGAATGCTGGTCAACATCAAGGCTGTAGGGAAGGAATAATATCACATGGCCTGCTGATGTGTGAACAAGAAATTCACTCCTTAATCCAGAATCTCAGTTAATAGCAATTTCTTTCCAAGCGCCTGGGTGGCTTAGTCGGTTAAGCGTCCAACTTTCGCTTAGGTCATGATCTCGCGGTTCATGGGTTCGAGCCCCGCGTCGGGCTCTGTGCTGACTGCCAGCTCAGAGCCTGGAGCCTGTTTCAGTCTGTGACCCTCCCTCTCTCTCTGACCCTCCCCTGCTCACGCTGTCTCTCTCTCTCTCTCTCTCTCTCCTAGAAATTAAAAAAGAAAATTTAAAAAAAATAGCAATTTCTTTCCTTATAACCTTAGTCCTCCTTTCCCTGTTGATGATGCCAATGTCTCTGACCCCTCTGGGATGGCAAAACCCTGAGAGAGGGGACCTGTGAGCTTCTGTATGCTACAGGCAGTATTATTTACCCCAGGGAATGATTTGGGAAGGTTTGCATGGGTGGGACGGCCTAGGGAAGGGCAAAGGATCAGCCAGTGTGCACATCTATAAAAAGCTGGAGCAGGAGAAGGCTTTTAGCTGGAAAAATACTTTCACATCCTCCCAGTTCATTTCACTTGGATTAACATTCTCAAGAGTTTGGGTCAGAAATGGGAAAGGCCGAGAGAGGAGAAAGGTGTGGAGGGATTGATAAAAAGAGGGGAAATGGAAGAGAGGTGATGGGCAACGAGTAACCGAAGACTCTAAGAGGAGAGAAATTAAATTTGTTTAGGTTGAGATCAAACTACCCTCAGCACCTCTCTCTTTGGGCCCACATTTAATGTGTAAATAATTCCACGTGCCCAGGACTTCCAGAGTCTCCTGAAGCTACAGAAGGGCTCATGTATATCATTTTCCTTTTTCATGGATTGCCTTTCACACGGTTTCTCCTATAAAGTGATACGGATGGCTTTTCTTTTCTTCAAAGATTTTTTTTACTCTTCCCATGAGGGCCTCTCTGGGAAAGAAATTAAATGATGTAGGTTAAACAGTAAAAAAAATATATTTATTTATTATTTTTTACGAAATAAGGTGTTTGGGGACAAAGTAATTGCCATTTTCAATTGATACAAACCTGCTTCTGTCAGTGATCTTTTCTAGGCTTTCTTTTGTCAGTTTGAAAACTCATCCTAGGGGGCGTCTGGGTGGCTCAGTCGGTTAAGCATCTGACTTCCATTCAGATCATGATCTCACGGTCCATGGGTTCGAGCCCGCATCAGGGTCTGTGCTGACAGCCCAGAGTCTGGAGCCTACTTCAGATTCTGTGTCTCCTTCTCTCTGTGTCCCTCCCCTGCTCGCTTGCTCTCTCTCTCTCTCAAAAATAAATTTAAAAAAAAACTATTCCCAAAAAGTTTTAACCGCTGATACCTGGGGGTGGGTGGATGATGTGAGATGCCTGAATTAGGGCAGGTGTGCTCAGCAAAAATCTAAGCTCTCTCTCTGGTGGGGAGATGAACTCCAGCCAAGATAAGTTAGGAGACCATTTAAGGATGATTATGATATCCTGGTGATGCTGAGTTCTAATTAGCTGCTGGTAGCCACTGGGTGGTAGGTGGGGGAGAGAGGAGAGTCTGGTATTTCTAAACGGTAGGTGGAAAAGAGTGAAAATCATTTCTTTCCAATAACGAGCTTGTTCCCGAATTGGCTAATGGGTATTTTTAAAGCCATGCTAAATTAAAGGGATCCAACTATGTCACCAGTATTTTGTAGCCCATGGGTTCAGGGAGACGATGTGGGATATCCAGAAGGATTCTCTACATAAATTGGACTTAATTGCTCTAAGAGACACTGGAGCTTTCTTTAATCAGAATGGAAATAGGGATAAGCTGAGGTCTTACAGATATGTGGTACTTAAGGGAGTAAACTAATGGTGTGCCTCTGTGTAGCTCTTGGTGGGCAGAAGGAAAGACAGACTAAAATTGGGAGCCTTGCCAGCTTATGTTCTTTTCTCCTCCTTACTTCTCCAGCTCTCTAGTGCTCCCTTCTGATAGGCCTCCCTGCCTGTGCCGTAAAGCTCTCTGGCTGCGATGGACGACGGCGGTATTAATAAGGAACTAAAGCAGAAGTTAAACTTTTCCCGCTGTGAAGAAGAGGGTGAGCATGAAGGGCAGAAGGAGGAACAAGAGAGCAGCGAGGCCCAGAGCCGAACCCCAGACAAGTCTGAAGTTCAGGAGTCAGAGGCAAAGTGCACAACTCCCAGACCTTCCCCCAACAGCCTCCGTGAAGTCGGCACGTTTCAGGAAAAAGACATGATGAGTCCAGATGAGGGTCCGAGGACTCCTGTGTCACACTGTCGCAAATGTCCTGGGTCACCAGCCCCACCAGATGGCAGGAGCAAGCTGCTGCATTGTGAGAGCCCCTTCACTCCCAAAGTAAGTAAGTTGTGGAGGAAAGGGGACCCAAGTCCCGAAGATCTGTGCACCTTTGGTTCTGTTGATGGGGAAGGAGGACGTGTTTGTTTATGTGTATCTGACAGATTTGCTCACAGGCTATGTATCTCCTCAGTTATGTACTTATTGGTAAAAAAGAAGAAGAGTTCAACGTTCCCAGAAAACAGAACTAAGTGCCTTGCTAGCTGTCTTCTCAAAACCATTCATGTCAGCAACTCTTTGGTATAGGCCACAGATAAATCTTGGGGGTGGGGGGGGGGGAAATTCCTAGTTAAAGAATATTGGAACCAAAGGAAAATTTTTTTAAAATGTTTGTTTATTTTGAAAAAGAGAGGGTGGGGTGCATGTGCATGAGCGCGTGAGAACGAAGGAGGGGCAGAGAGGCAGAGAGAGAATCCCAAGCAGAAACTGGAAGTAATATTAAGATCTAGGGCTCTACTGTGTATTCTGCAAACAAGAAGATTAAGGTTTCAAGAGATCAGCTGGGGGCGCCTGGGTGGCTCAGTTGATTAAGCATCCAACTTCGGCTCAGGTCATGATCTCACGGTTCGTGGGTTCGAGCCCCGCATCGGGCTCTGTGCTGACAGCTAGCTCAGAGCCTGGAGCCTGCTTTGGATTCTGTGTCTCCCTCTCTCTCTGACCCTCCCCTGCTCACGCTGTCTCCATCTCTCAGAAATAAATAAAACATTAAAAAAAAAAAAAAAGAGATCAGCTGGCTTTTGGCTCATCCAATCTCATCCCAGGCAGGACTAGAAACCTAATCTTTTGGTCTCAGTCTACTACTGTTCTTTCCATTACGCCAACTGGCTCTACTTTATGTAATTATTTACCAATATGTCCTAATAAAAGAATGTTCACATTCACTATTGGAACATATTCACATATCTTTGCTGCTGCCTTCCCAGAAGTCCCTACCTCTCCTCGGACTAGTGAGAGGCAGGCTCTTCTATGTGAGCAAAGAGGTAACTTGTTGATACTTCTTTATAAGCTGGACAGGGCAAATAGGCAAAGGCCTCAAGTAGTTAGCTTTGTCCTTTATTCTTGCTGTGATTATTCTCCTGTTATATCTACACGTCCTTAAATCCAGGGTTGGGGCAGGGTTACCACTGACAGACTAGTGCCATGGTGTGTGAGTCTCAGCACTGGTTTTAGCTCCGCTTTCTGCTGGCTCAGCTTGAGGTACTTAAGACCATCAGAACAACATCTGTGCTTCTGATTGTAGCACAGTTACTGTCAGCAGGTCCCTATAGTTCCTGCTAAGTATGCGCACCATGTCTACCAGGGAGTATTAAGCTTCTTGTCTGTATTGTAGACCGACTGCTTTAATATGCTTAGGTGCCCACTGTGGGTTTTTCAATGGTCTCCATTGAAAAATAGAATCCTTTTATTTTTTTTTTGAGAAGCTAGTGTGTGCAAGGAGCACAAGACCTAATCTCTGCCCTCAAAGTGCTTACAATCAGCAGAGAGACAGTGGGGGGTGTGCGTATAGACACTATATGACAGGTGCTTCCAGAGTGGTTTTGATGTATGTAAATTAGGTGGAGAGTGGGCTGAAAGAACATGGCTCTGAGCAAGACTACACGGGAAGGATATGGAACATGGTATGTATATTTCCATTCATTCACTTAAAACCGAGCATGTTGATATCAGACCTTCTGCTGGCAAGCCATTCACTGCATCAAAAAGTGCCCGTAAAATGAATACAGATAAACAACAGAAACCATAAAGTTCGGATCAGGCATGCTGAAAAATGATTGGGAATTAAGTCTCAAGATCAGGAATGCCTTTCCTGAGAGCAGTCTTCAAGGATGAGTTGGAGTGATCCAGGTAAAGAAAAAGGGAATGGGAACTTGAAGCGAAGGGAAAAGCATCTAGTGAGTTGAGAGGGAAAAGATCATGTCACACCTAGAAATTGCATGTTACTCAGTGACAGGGGCCTGTACGTGAGAGGGTGCAGGCAGTGGGGCCAGAGTAGGTAGCTAGGAGCTAGATTGATTTTGCCTTTTTTAAGCAAATTTTTTAATGTTCATTTTTGAGAGTGAGACAGAGAGACAGAGGGCAAGCGGGGGAGGGGCTGAGGAGAGGGAGACACAGAATCTTAAACAGGCTCCAGGCTCTTCACTGTTAGCATGGAGCACAATTTGGGGTTCAAACTCCTGAACTGTGAGATCATGGCCTGAGTCGAAGTCGGACGCTTAATTGACTGAGCCACCCAGGTGCCCCCAAGATTTCATCTTGAGAGCTTTGAGGCAGTCATCAAATGGTTTTGATCAGAGGTCTTTTTGAAAAACTGACCTCTATGTGAAGGCTGGCATGTTGTGGGAGAGACCTTGAGGGAGAGCAGTATTTTTAACAAATTGGTTGACAAAGGAGAAAGGCCTGAATGAGGTCAGTGGTGGACATTGAGAAATTGAGAGATGTTTAGGATTTGGTAAGTGACTTTGAAGTGGGATTGTTGAGCTCAATGGTCAAGAATTTTTGAGACATTGTACAATGCAAAAAGATGTTTTTATTACAGCATGGGGACAAGACCCATGGGCAGAAAGAGCTGCATTATGATTGTGAGGAGTGACTGATTATATAGGGTTTTCCATCCTATGGAGGTGAAGGTAATGTTAGGGTTCCAGGAAAGCCCTATAGGAATCTGTAGGTCTCTGGAGATTTATTATTGTGTTATTCTTGCAAATCATTAAGACAGTTAACAAACTGTAGTGGAATTTCGTGTCCTATGTGGCTGTGATCTTATCAACTGACCATTTGTTTTTCCCTTGCCTTTGTTCTTAGGCAGTTACTAGTGCCTGAGGAATGTTATATATCCCACTTTAAGTAGGGGGAAAGGGGAGAGTTGTGGGGTGTCAGCTCGTGTTTGGCTTTCAGCTTGCTTTTTGTTTTCTCATCATTTCCCCCCCCCCCCCCGAACAACCTGACCCTTAAATCTTTAAGATTGTTGGAGGAAGAAGGTCTCATCTTTGTAGCATTGTCCTGTTGAATAGGGGCATATAGATGTCTCTACCTATGGGCCAACATTGTTCAGTTGGGGAACATATAGGCAAGTTACGAAAGGCAGAGGTAGCTGGGTCCACTGTGGACAGCAAAGAAGTATCTCTGTGGTTGGTAATGAAGATCTTCATTGTCATTTGAAGAGGAGTTTGGGATCTTCTACAGGTTCACAAGAGTGAGAAGGCATGTCAGTTTGCTCATCGGTTTTCTGTGAAGGATGTACAGGTTTTATTCTAGATATGAGCCCAGGAAGAGTGTCCCTCTAACTGTACTGCAGTGGGAGTACGTAATATGACCCAATATAGACCCTTCTATTTTTTGAAATAAGTTTATTTATTTTGAGAGAGAGAGAGAGAACAATTGCATGTGTCTGTGCATGAACAGGGGAGGGGCAGAGACAGAGGGAGACAGAGAATCCCAATCAGGCTCTGCGAGGACAGCGCAGAGCCTGACCTAGGACTCGATCTCACAAACTGTGAGATCATGACCTGAGCTGAAATCAGGAGTCAGCACTCATCCAAGTCCCCCAGGGGGCCCCTGAACCTTTCCATTTTGGATATAAGGCCACTGATGTATTAGACTTCCAATATTTTAAATAAATCACATCTCTGGGGCTTAAGTGAGATGGACTTCCAGTTATAGTTAAATCAGATTTCAGGAGCATGTGATCAGTGAAACTTAGCATAATGAATACTTAATATTCATTAAGTAACTTATGAATTAAACCAGCCTTGAGTGAAAAATAAGTATTAGAACCTTCATCCAATAACTGGTCCATTGTATGGAATGGTCTTCTATATAACAACTCAAAGGGCTGAGTCCTAGAGGTTGTATTCGAGCAGTCCTCATCCTGAGACGTCCTACTGGTAAGAGAATATCACAGTTTTCTTGGGTCTCCAGACTAAGCTTAGCAAGGTGTCGTTTTAAAGTATAACGAGCTTTCTCCTCCTTTCCAGAGGATTGTGGATGCCAGGCTGAATGTAGAAAATATTTCATTTTTAAAGCTTCTACTACTTGTTATTTGTGCAGTAACATAAGGACTATTATCGCTTTGGAGGGATTGTGGAAGGGCAAATCTAGGAATAATTTCTTGCAACAAAACTTGGGTGACTTTTGAGGCTCTTTCAGTTTTAAATGGAAAGTCCTCGATCTATCCAGTGAAAATCTCAACAGACCCTAATAGAAACAGCTAGCCTTTGCACAGAGGCATTTGTGTGAACTCAAGTTGCCAGTCCTCTCCAGATATATTCCATGCCTTTCCACTGGCTTCAAAAGGGAAGGAGGGGGCACCCGGGTGGCTCAGTTGGTTAAGCAGCCGACTTCGGCTCAGGTCATGATCTCACGGTTTGTGGGTTCGAGCCCCGCGTCGGGCTCTGTGCTGACAGCCAGCTCAGAGCCTGGAGCCTGTTTCAGATTCTGTGTCTCCCTCTCTCTCTGACCCTCCCCTTCTCACACTGTCTCTCTCTCTCAGAAATAAATTAAAAAAAAATGTCAGAAGGGAAGGGGGTATGGACTGCGCCTTCCAGATTTACTTGTACACAGACAGTACAGGATTGGCAGACTTGTTTTATTGTAGTTGTTAAATTCATTCCATCAAATATATTTTTAACTCAACGTTTTAAAGCATTTTTGCCCAAATGAGTAGCCTGATGTAAATCCTATATTACCTTCCATTGGTTATTTTTGGGTATAAAGATTTTCCCCTCATTATTAATAAGCCAGTTCTGTGTGTTTGTTTTCAGTACCCTTGTTCCTGGGCTATATGAATTTCTTGGTCTGAATAGACCTTAGCTTGCCTTTTGTTCTCTCATCAACTTGATGGAAAAGTTGAGGGGAAAAGGAGGGATTTAGGATCTTGTGAGGCTTCTACCTTGTTTGACTGAATAGATCACACCTTGAATCAAGATAGTTGATGCTAGAGGATGTACAGGTTTGGAGAAAGCAGAGATGTCCTATAAATCATTGGGTAAGTGGGTCTGGAATGCAAGAGAACAAAACTAAATTGGAAACCTAAATTTGGATATCATTAGCATTTTGGAAGTTGTTGAAGCCTTGGGTGCGGATAAGCTCAAGTAGCCTGGGTGCCAGAGTAAGAAGAGAAGCGGTCCAAGTTAGGAATTCTGGTAATGCCAAGATTTAAGGGGCAGGAAAAGAACAGAGCTTGGGAGGGAGACTGGAAATGCTACTGAAGAATGCACACTTTATGAGGAATATCGTTTGGCTCAGAAGGGGGGGGGGACACTGATCATCAGTGGTGTTCTTACTAAAGACAAGGATGCAGAGGAAAGGAGCATTGACTTAGTTCAGCCTTGCCCGAGGGATAAGACTAGAAATCCTATGAAGTGACTTCAGGTCACCATAAAGACTTCCTAGAGGAACTACCTAGAAATAGAAGAGCTTCCTGAGGAGGCAGTAGGTCCCTGTGGCTAAATGCACTGAACACTAGTTGATCACTTGGTAGGGACTCTGTAGAAGGGATTCAGGCATCAGGGGACTGATTGTACCAACTGGGCCTTTAAAGTTTTTCCAAGTCCTGAGACCCTATGATGTTGTGTCTTTAAGGTGGGAGGTATTCGTCAATTTTCCTTTCCCTCTATCCTCCGTAACAGAGCTGTTGCTTCTAGAATTAGCTATACTCCCCAGAACACATTTATACTTTCAATCTGGACATCTTTCCAGAAATCTTCAACCTGTCCTACATTTAGGCAGAACTTCCTTTCATAAGCCTTGTTCCAAACTAAGTTCTTTTGGAACTTTTTTTCCAAAAGAATTACTCATAATTCTATTATTCTGGGAATAAAAATCCATGTTAATATAATTCATTTATTACCCTGTATCGCAAGTGGAGCTCAAAAAATCTATCGGCCTTCATTCTCCAGATTAGGAATTCTGATATTGTCTGCTCTGATGTGGACCCTTTTCCTTCCTTTTGTCGGAAACTGTCTAGGCTCTTTTTGTTATCCTTGAAGTGTGGCCACCAGAATTGCATCATTCTAGGTATGTGGATGCCCCACTGTTTCATATATGATGGGTACATTTTACTTTCCATATAATCATCATCATTATGATCATCATCATCAACAAAAAAACTGTTTCTCAGGGACTTATTTACTGTAATGCTATTTTCATTGCCTGAGTCACCCAGACAATTGAGAAATACAGTACAGTTGTACGTACTGTGAGCAAGTACTCCTCTGTCCTATAATACACTTACAGGAAAATTGTGAGTTTATCATTGATAGCTTTGTCTGACAATAGCCCCAGGATTGTTTATCCCATAAATTCTTATAAAACCCTTATAAAAACTTGACTCCAGCAACGATCTTTTTCTTCATGTTAAAAAAAAAAAAGCTTTAGGTTACCGAGTGTACTCCGTAGTTTCCTTCATTTCTGCTTTTATCATTTTGGATTTCTAATCTCCATATTCATTCTTTGTATCCATACATTCTTGAATTACATTTTTATACAGTGAATCACGTTATAGTCTAGCTTCTGCTTCTACTCTGAAAGCCATGGGCAGAGACTGTCAAATAATGGCATTCTTTTAGAAAAAACCCCACAGTACAATGCTTATGAGGTTATATCATGGCCCTGTGACTACTGTTATGCTCTTGGAGACCCATAACACAGCTATTCCTCTGGTCCTTGACTTAGGTTATAATGACATTCTATTGTCTCCTCAGGATTCTTTGTCTTTGGCCTGTCACCTCGGTCTTTGGTTTAGTTCTGGTTAGGTTAGGTTCTCTTACTATACCCCACTTGGAGTGGTAAGTTCAGCACACTTTCCTACTTGTTGGTATGCTGGTTATAACCTCTACAAAGCTCAGATGATTGTTTTTTAAGGTCTTTACCCCATTTTATGGAACTCTTCTCATTTGGTATTACATTTTTAGTGGAACTGGAAACTTCTTCCATGTTTAGGTAGTCTATGAAATCTTCCCCGTACGAAGTGAATATTTCTGCAAGATTGATGGGTTGTTGGCCAATGGACTGTGCATTCCTTAAGAGATGGAATTCACCTCTGTGTGCCTCAGCATCTAGCCCAGCATCTGCTAATTAGTAGGCACCAAACTAACCTTTGGATGAATGATTGAGGGAGAGTTAAAGTAAACCCTGAGAAAGACCAGGTCTTCTAGAGTCCTTTTTGTTTGTCTAAGCTTGAGCATATAGCATTTAAAAAGTTAGCAGTAGAAGTAGAGTTGGTATTTTTCATAACTGGTCATCAGAATTGCCCAGGGCAAGGCAGTGGAGCTTAACAAAAGTACAGACTCCTGTATTGATTCCTTGAATTGGAATACCTAGAGGAAGACCAGGAATCTTTATTTTTCATAACAGGACCAGTTACAATGCAGCTAGTTTGCACTGAACCAGATAACCTCTAATTCCTTTTCAACAATAACATTCTTTGGTTCAAATATTAACTAGCTGATATGAAACTTTTTTTTTTACACTAAACTCCTTCTGTTTTCTCTTTTTGTCATTCTCATTCAGGGTCTGCTGAGCCAGTCCGTGATCTCTTCAGCAGAGAAGCTCCCCTCCCGAGGCTCTAAGCATTTGAGGCTCACACCTGTTCCCCATGTGGATGAGATGACCTCATCAGCTCTGGTCAATATTAATCCCTTTACACCAGAGTCCTATAGAAAACAATTCCTTCAATCCAATGGCAAGAGGAAAACCCGAGGAGATCTGTAAGTGTACTGTTGCCTCTGACTTTTGAGAACTGATCTTACTATGGTCAAGTAGAAGGGAGAGTGTGAAAGTAAGATTAGGAACGAGAACTCTATTTGAATGCAGTTGATAACATGTTCACACATCCCCTCCTTCCTAAATGTTAATGCTGGTTTGTGACCTGCTTTTGCCCCAGAGATTCTAGCATATCCCCATTCTGAAGCGTACTGTATGGGGCCTTCTCTATAAAAGAATAGGGCAGAATAAGCAGTAGACGGCTGGCTTCCACCGGCAGATTGAATGAGCTACAGAATTCCATTCAGGTGGTCTCCTCTGGTTAACAGAAGGCTAGCCCTGGGGAAGGTGTAGCTCACCCTTTAAGGAGTAGACTGCTGCTTCAAGTCTAGCTTGTGTGACTCCGAGCTGTAGAGCAAGGATTTGAACTTCTCTGCAGGTGATGGCAGATGGGCTAATGAGAAAAAGATAGTGTTGCTTCTGGAGGTGCCAAGAATGGAAAGCCTAACTGCATGCTCCACAAGGCCACTGAATGCTAGAAATTGTCCAAATAAGGATTGGGCCCATTGCTAAGGGACATTTCTTTGCCAAGTCTCTTCGATGCTGCTTTTTTACAGAGTGGAAATGCCTCTAAAATGGGCCAGTCATTTGTGTTCACATGTACTCAGCTAAATAAATGCACACCTAACCATGTGAAGTTTGCAGAGCATTCAATATTAGGTTGAGTTGTTTCTTTTGGAATCAGTGACTCTGTATTAATCAGCTTTGTGGCCAGAATAGGTTTTCTCTATACTATCACCTGGATCTTAAGTAAATAGGACTTTAGCACAAGTACCCAGGTCCACTCTTGTTACCCAGAATTGGTTTTGGCTCTTGAGGATTCTTTGCAGGCCATCACAACTAATGGATTCACCTCTCACTGCAGCTAGCCAGAAAGGACCATTAATTTGAATTTCCTGCAATGAAAGTGGGGATGCTCGAGCAAAAGCTCTTAGTGCTTCTGTAAGAGTACGTTTCTCCCTTCCTTATTGTGGTGTTATTATTTTATGAAGTATTAGAATGTATTATTAGACTTAAGTCACAAGGGTCCAGCATCAATTTGCTTCCATGAGTGTCACATCCTCCCCCATTTGCCATTTCTACCCTGTACTTCCACAGAAGAAAAATTTGGAGCTGGCTATGTAGAAACTGAAATCTTGCTTAGAGATCCCGAGTGCTCAGACCAAAGAGAATGTCTGTCAGAGGCTTCAGCTTATTGCAAAGTCACTGACAATCTCTTAGCCAGTGTGAGAGCTTATTCTGCTACGCTGATTGTCTGCCTGTGAACCTAGTGCAAAGCCAGGTTCAGGGGAGATAGGTGTTGAAGGGGAAGTGAGGCAGGAAAAGAGTGCTCAGTTTCACTTGTTCTGTGTGCTCTCACCTCCACTTTTCAGTGCTGCTCTGTTTGCCTTGAACCCCACTCCTGCCCCTCAGCTGATTCCTACTCATTCTTGGAAACTTAGCTAGGAAACACATTCTCTTTTGGGAAAGACTTTTACTCTTGAAATAATGATTTGGGTGTTGCCTCTAGTATCCCTTGATGTCTTGTTCTTATTCTTTCCTAGTGTCTTACATTGACATTTTCTATTTACCCCTGTCCCCAAATATAAACTGAAGGGGAGAAGGAATGGTCTTATTTACACTTACAGTCCCAAAACCTAGTAGAGTATCAAGCTCTATACTGCTAAGCCTACACTGATACCACTTCTTTTTGTTATTCTTTTAAGTGAGGAAGCTGGTCGAGGGGAAGGTGATGTAGATCAAGGGCTGCCAGCCAAGGTGAGCATAGTTCTCTGTTCCTGCTGTCATGACTTGGTCACTTCATCTTACCACCTCTCTTCTTCTCTCTCTCTCTCTCTCTCCCTCCCTTCCCCCCCCTCCCTATCCCAAGCTTCATAGATTTACAAATGTACCTTGCAACTGAATTTATCTGCACTCTCATCAGGGTCTATATTCTTTGCTAGTTAGTACTTCATCAGACAGTGTCTGACCTGCATATTGCTGAGTCATTACCTTGGAGCATTTTTAAATTAATGGCTACTGCTTCTATCTTTGATTTGGGGAAAAATTCTATATTCGTGGGTAGAGAAGCAAAGTGAAGGGAATTCAAGATATGAAGGCCCCCAAATTGAAAAACACGACAGAGAAAAATGGCATAAAGCTGGAAGTTTAAATGTAAAATTTTAGCTCTTAAATGTGTCCATTCGTATTGATTTTTAAATAGTGTTCACAATCTTTGTAGCATTCCTCATTTGATAACCTAGCCTAAGAAAGTAATACTATAAATATTATCACCAGAGATGAGTACTGCAGCTTTAACTGTAATAGCAAAAAAAAAAAAAAAAAAATTAAAACACAAAACCCTACTAAATGTCCAATAATTAAAGAATGGCCAAATAAATTACAATTTACAGTACAATTTTAAATTGCCACTAAGATGTTTATAATATGACAACATGCCTATGTTCACTATTCAGTATACAAAAGGGGGAGGGCCTGAGGTTGGGGACTGATGTGGATGGTGAGCTGGCTTATTTTGGTGTCTGATATGAGGCTGGGAAGGTGTAGTGGATGAGCAATTGGTAGAAGGCTTTCAGGCCTCTGTCCAGAAGTTTGGCTTCCTTGTGGGAGATAATTAGGTGTGTCTGATTCTATGGTATCATTTTGCAGAAATGATTACTATTTTTTATTATAAAATTTGTTACTATTTGAAGCGATGGAGAGAGAGCTGGTAGCTGTGGAAACTCCAGGCAGGGAGAAAACCGAACTTGAGATTGGCCAAGGGCAATGAAAATTCTAGATCTGGATTATGAAGGCTGATTGGTATTGGATGTTGACGTGAATAGGTATTAGGAGTCAAGATGGTTTAAACTCAAAGATAGATGAAAAAATTCTTGCTAATGGGGACATTGAGAAATGATGACTTCATGGAAATAAATCAATTTGGATTGAGAGTCATATAAACTTGTGGAGACTTCTGTCTTTTTAGCTACCATTTACTGAGAATTTAGTGTGCTTGACCTTGAACTAAGTTACACACGTGCACACATGCACATTTTCTCATGTGATACTTATAAGAACCTAGAGGAGTAGTTGCTATCATGCTCCCTTTACTTTAGATGAGAAACCTAATAAAGGAGTTCAGTGATGTGTCTGGGGTTATTTACCAGCTGGGCAATGGATGACATTGCTAAGCTATACTTGAGCTCTACCTAGGCTTGTAAGCTAAGATAATCAATTTGATAATTTTGTTCTCCAGACTAAGATTTTTGAGGAGGTAAAGTGAACACGCATAAGCTTCTTTACTTTGAGATGAAAACATTAGCATCCAGAGTGTGAGACAAGTAGACAGGAGTCAGAGGGTGGTGTCCTTCCCACCCTCCTTAAAATGTTCTACCCAGATCCCCGCCATTCTTTCAGCTGAGGATAGTAGCTCTTGCTGTGAGCAGGTATGTCACCTCTAAAAACATATTGAGAAGAAGGATATCCCAGACAGAAGAAACAACATAGAAAAAAACCTAGCCTATTAAAAAAGCCAGTATATCACTCATAGGTGGAATTTAAGATACAAAACAAATGAACACAAGGGAAGGGAAGCAAAAATAATATAAAAACAGGGAGGGAGACAAAACATAAGAGACTCTTAAATACAGAGAGCAAACTGAAGGTTGCTGGAGTAATTGTGGGTGAAGGGATGGGCTAAATGGGCAAGGGGCATTAAGGAGGACACTTGATGGGGGTGCCTGGGTGGCTCAGTCAGTTGAGCATCCAAGTTCAGCTCAGGTCATGATCTCACAGTTTGTGAGTTTGAGTCCTGTGTTGGGCCCTGGGCCCTGTGCTGACAGCTTGATCAGAGCCTGGAGCCTGCTTCAGATTCTGTGTCTCCTTCTCTCTCTGCCCTTCCTGTGCTTGAGCTCTGTCTGTCTCTGTCTCAAAAATAAATAAATAAATAAATAAATAAATAAATAAATAAATAGTGACATAGAATCCAATAGATTTGTTTTGAAAGTCTTTTTGAAAACTTAGAGAGGGACACCTGGGTGGCTCAGTTGGTTAAGTGTCAGACTTTGGCTCAGGTCATGATCTCCTGGTTTGTGAGTTCAAGCCCCATGTCGGGCTTTGTGCTGACAGCCTGGAGCCTGGAGCCTTCTTCAGATTCTGTGTCTCCCTCTCTCTCTGCCCCTCCCCTGATCATTCTCTGTTGCTCTCTGTCTCTCAAAAATAAACGTTAAAAAATTCTTTGAAAAAAAAGAAAACTTAGAGAAACTTAGGAATATGCCTAAAATTTATTGCTCATATGTTAAAAAGAATTATTTTAATTTTTTAATAAAATATTTCAGAGATGTGTTCTCCGAGAAACCAACATGGCTTCCCGCTATGAAAAAGAATTCTTGGAGGTAGAAAAAATTGGAGTTGGCGAATTCGGTACAGTCTACAAGTGTATTAAGAGGCTGGATGGATGTGTTTATGCAATAAAACGTTCCATGAAACCTTTTGCAGGATCATCAAATGAGTAAGTACCTTTGAAATGTACTAGAAGTGTAAACTTGGATTTGGAAAATTGTTTCTTGTTAAAACACTTCATTTTATTTGTTTGTTTATAGACAGAGACAGCATAAGTGGGGGATGGGAAGAGAGAGGGTGGGCAGAGAATCCTAAGCAGGCTCCAGGCTGCCAGCACAGAGCCCCATGAGATCACAACCTGAACCAAAACCAAGAATCAGACACTTAATTGACAGAGCCATCCAGGCGCCCCAGTACATTTTACATAACGGCACTGATGTCATTAAAAAACCCATTGCTACCCCCTCCATTGTATATGGTTCCACAATTTATAGCTTTTCTGAATTTCCAAGTCAGAGATAAGTTATTCCCTAAAATGTATCATGATCATTTGGGAACAATCATGTTGTGTTTTTTCATTGTTCTTGAGGCTTTTACTACTGGTCTTCCTGCTTTTCCTTTAATGAATAGATTTATGGAATGATTTTCATCCTGTTTCATTCATTAGAAATATTGCCAAGTAGGAAGTTAATGTTAACTCATCAGTTATCTCCACTTTGTATTAATAATGGATTCATTACTGAATTCATTATGACTACTGAAATAATGTTTTGAAGACTACAAGTGAGGAGAAATGAAGAGAAATTTAAATTTTGTTCTCAGAACTAACTGCTCAGCAATTCTTCCTTTTACAAGGAAAACCCATATTTTCAGATTCAGCCAAAGCTTTTTGTGAACTGTAGGGATGTAATGCTTAATTTGTTAAATCTGAAATTAAGGGCCTTAGAATTCTTCATTTTCATACTGAAATTCATCAAGTACTACATTCTACTTTTTTCTGTTAGATTTCCTATTCCATAATGAATATGAATAATGACAGTCCCCAAGACTGTAGTCCCTGTGACTATATCATATTGGTTGAGTGTAATAGTGACTCTAGTCACTGTCTAGCCTTCACAGAGAAGATAGAGGACCCATCACACAATATCCTCCATCAAGTCTATGGTGGCCCTCTTGTTAAGCCCATCGACATTTTAAAAATTGTGATCTAGTGAAGTTAAGACTCGAAGCATGTCTGCCATTAATATAGTAACAAGCTAAGACTCTTCTTTATATATGCCATGTTCAATGAAACGAAAAACATAGATTTTGGTACCGGCAAGACCAAGTAGACCAATAGGTCTACTATTGCCAGCTTGACTTTGGGCCAGTCACTGAGCTTTCTAAAGCCTTCATCTTTGCCACTATATCTGAGTAGTTATGAAAATTAAATGAGGTAAAATAGTAAGCAAGTAGTGAGCACTCAATAAAATTCTTCCACTGTTAATAATGCCTCATATCATGGAATGCTTGAGTGGCTCAGTCAGTTAAACGTCCGACCTCGGCTCAAATAGTGATCTTCACAGTTTGTGGGTTCAAGCCCCACGTTGAGCTCTGTGCTGACAGAGCAGAGCCTGGATGGAGCTTGCTTTGGATTCTGTGTCTCCCTCTCTCTCTGCCCTCCCCTGCTTCCTCTCTCTCTCTCTTAAAAATAAATAAACATTGAAAAACATAATGCTTTGGGCGCCTGGGTGGCTTAGCTGGTTAAGCGTCCGACTTTCGCTTGGGTCATGATCTAGCGGTTCGTGGGTTCGAGCCCCGCGTCGGGCTCTGTGCTGACTGCCAGCTCAGAGCCTGGNAGCCCCGCGTCGGGCTCTGTGCTGACTGCCAGCTCAGAGCCTGGAGCCTGTTTCAGTCTGTGACTCCCTCTCTCTCTGACCCTCCCCTGCTCACACTGTCTCTCTCTCTCTCTCCTAGAAATAAAACATTTAAAAAAAAAACATAATGCCTCATATATAGGCATATATATATATAAACATATAAATAAAGACAAGTCTTTAAAAAAATTTGCATGTCTATTAATTCATTTTTCTTGATGCTCTTCTGTCTGTTAGGAGTTTGGCTTTGCATGAAGTTTATGCTCATGCAGTACTTGGGCATCACCCCCACGTAGTACGTTACTACTCTGCATGGGCAGAAGATGACCACATGATCATTCAGAATGAATACTGCAACGGTAAGTATGAGGACTCCTAGCACTGGAGAGGAAGATGAACTTTCAAGTCCCCAGGAAAAAAATCTTTGTCTCCCCCTTGTAGTACATGCCTTACAGTCCTACCTAAAAGGTCTATACTACAGTTTTTCTTGGAAGCAGAGAGCTGGAGACACAGAGTTGCACTGAAAAGGAATTTCGGGTTTACACTTGTTCATATTTTTTTCAGAGCTGATGTGTGACTGACACACAGAAGTGACTAATCCCCTCACACTTTACTCAATACTTAGCAAACTTTGACGGTTTGAATGGTAAATCATCCTCCTACATTTGCTAGGTATTCTAGGATGAGCAAGTCATAGTCTTTACCATTTTGGGGAAGTGGTGGTAAATGTACACAGCTGACTTTTGATTAATTTTCAAGTGGATTCCTGAATTTGGGGATTATTGCCCTTGAGGTTTAGTGTTCTCACCAGAGTGGGGGCATGGGGTGAGTGCTGGGAATGAAACACAGTGACTTCAGATTATTCTAGTAGGTCTTTTAGGACCATACATACACAAATAACTGGTCAAACTTTTTTTCTGGGCTACTTAAATCGCAAAATGTAGTCCTTTGGTCTGACATAATTTCTAATCTAAGGGGGTGACATAGCAGTATTGTTACATATTATTCTCAGAAATAGTTTTCATCAAAATGTTCAGTGGTAAAATAGGAAAATGCTCCTAAATTAAATAGAAGCTAGCTGTCCTTCTACAAGTGGTGATCTTCATTCAGGCCGTGGTGGTATTGGATAGTGGCACCCCTCCCCAGCCCCCTCCCCCCCAACAACATGTACACCTACACTGAAGTTTCTCTAATAGCACAGTTTTTGAGTAATTTTAGTAGCCACCAGATAGCCCTGGGTATGTAAGCGCAGCCTGACTTTTGAGGACCGTGACAACGCTTCATCATTATATCTACAAGTGGGTTAAGTAAACAATATTATGAAACACCAGAAACACAGAAAATGGTACACATATGCAAACAAATGATTTGGCATTTCCCTTATTGTGTCCTCAGATCCTGATTTCCTTATAGTCTTAACTGTGAACTTTTTTTTTTTCCCTTTAATATGCTCACCTAAATCCTTTTCTCTAATAGTCTCTTTAGGATAAAAAAAAATGGACCCTTTCCTTGTGATGGAGAGGTTGAGACTTTTCTTAATCTTCTCTTCCTAATTCCTCTTTACTGTAACCTGAGATTCCCTATTCTTCCTCCTCCCATCCCCCGATTGGCTTTATTTTCTTGACTTTCAACTACTAGCAAAGATAATATCAAGAAATAAAAGTTAACCAAGGAAGTCAAACAAAACAAACTTAACCTGATTTAGGGCATTGTAAAGATTTCAAATGTTCAAAAAGAATAAGATGGAGGGATAGTTCCTGTTACAAGTCCATCTTCTAGTTCTCTGCAACATTTGAATACCTTCTACAGGCTGTCCTTCTATTAGGTTCTAGAGTGAGCTATACTATAAGGTGAGATAAGATCCGTCCTTCCGGGAGCTTTTTCCACTTGCTCGGTCACCGTGCAGACACCTGAGACCATTCAGTGCCAAACCAGGTGGTACGGCTGTGGACAAAAAGCATTCAGAGAAGACGAATATGAGCAAGAGGCAGCACAGTGTGGTGGAATGGGCCTGAGCTTTAATGGCAGGCAGAGGTGGGTCTAAAACCCAGGTCTGCTGCATGCCAGCTATGTGGTCTCTGGGAAGTCAATCCCGCTGAGTAAAGAGCTAGTACTATCTACTTAGGAGGTAGTAATACTTCCTATTTTGAGAAATAGGAACAATCTATGTCAAATGCTAGCACGGTGTCCATATCTGATACAGAGTCAGAACTCAGCAATAGCTGTTATTAGAGCAGCCCAAGAAAATCTCATAAAGGAGGTAAGACTTGAAAGATACCTTGTAGAAGGATTACCAGAGTTTAAGGAAGAGGAGAGAAGACCTCTATAAGAGGAACAGCCAGCGGGCAAAGAACATGGCATTGGGAATGGGTCTGACCTAGTGGATGGTAAGGACTGAGGTGACCCTATAACAGGAAATAGGATTAGCAAAGTCAAGTGTGGGAGGAGTACAGAGGGCTTTTGGATGTTGCCAGGCAGCAGGTTTTGAAGAAGATGTGATAGATTCGGAGGAATCATTCTGTTTGCCGTGGTGGTCCACTAACCTCACTGTACTTGCCAAGTAAAATGGGATTCTGATTTACCTAAATGTAATTCACCTACATGGCTTTCACATGTGAAGTGATCATGGACAATAAAGCATGCCCTTATACTTGCCTTGTTTGTAGTTACGGATAATGCATGTTCAGACTTTGCCCTGTGGCTCGAAATAAAGGAGAGCTAAGTCCAAAGTATTTGTAAGGTAGCAGAGTAGCCAGTGCCTGATTCCTTACACTCCTTCCTCCCTCAGTCCCCCTCTCTCCCTTTTTCTCCCCATGCCTGCCACCTTTACCCTGTCCCCCCAGCCTCTCACAGCAGTCGGCCTAGAACATGTAGAGTTATGGTTTGACTCAGATGATAAATTAGATGATTTAGATAATTGACATCATAACTAGTAGTGACCAGCAGTTAACTGATTTCCCCTACTGTCCCTCCTGAGCTCTAAATCAATCAAATGTCCCTTAAGCTGCCCTCACCCTTGCTGAGATCCCCTACACGTCACCTCTGGGCCAGCCTCTGAAATCTGCAGGCTTTCCAGCAGTAGATCAGTGGTGCAACCACCAGGCTTCCAAACGATTTGGGATGGAACAATTAACCTCTCCCTAGAGGCAGTATTTCCTTGTGACTTCTGTCACTGAATTTTCACAGCGCATGCTCCCCTTGTTCTAGTGATGTGGCATCCAGAAGTCTGCACCATCTGTGGAACACCATATACTGGTTACATTCTCCCAACAAACAAGGAATAACTTAACCGGCAGGAAAACATGCTTGTGTTGTAGAGAGCAACATAAAATCAAGATTGTGAGAATACAAATGTATGAACAGAATATCCTCTTGGTCTGCTGTTTACATTTTAGTGTTGGAAGGCATTTGCTATTTGTTTCAGTGTCTGTCAGGACTCCTAAGCAGACAGAAAAAACATAGATCTATTTTTCTTAAGTTTCCTTTTTCCCTCTGCCAAGTGGGGTAAGTGTCTTTATTTTATCTGAAGAAGAGAATTCGGCAACTCGTCTCACAAAGATGGTTTGAGAAGAGCTGTCAGGAGCTGGTCATTTCCTCCTAGGGCACAACCTTGGTGGTTATAGTATCATCTCCAGGTAGCATCTTGGGTTATGGAGTTAAGGCTCCAGTATATCTGAGATTAGTAGCAACGAAGTTTATAGTTCACTCAGTACTGCCCTGTCTACACACACAGATTTCCTCAATACTGTTTGGCCAAGAACAGTTAATTATGCTCTTCAATAAGAGGGAGACCATTGGCTTTAGCTGTAGCAAAATAAAGATATTCTAATACCTTTGTGTAAATGCTTTTCAGTAACTTTTACTATTGTTAATTATTATTTGGCTAACTTTAATATTACCTGCAGGGCTTCTAAGTAATTAAAAGTGCTGCTAGCACTGGTCTAACTACCCTTACTAAATACCTGTAGCTCTTAGTAATCAGAAATATCTCTGTTTATAATCTAGAAGACCATATGAAAAGGTTCCTATGTACCCCTAGGGTGCTTCTTTCTTTCCATATCTTTTATGGGCTCCTTGTCTTTGTCTTTCCTTTCCCTCTGTTGCCAGGATAGACCTTCAGTTCAGAATATGTAGATTGCATGCAAGACGTTGAGAAAGTGAAGATGGTTAAGATGGGGGTCTTGGAAGAACACCCAGTCTAGTGGGGAAATGAATTCCAGTGGACATGGGGGCCTTGGATGCAGGCTTCCTTCTCCTTGCCACACCTCACAACTTCATCTACAAACAGACTTGAGGTGACGGTTTCTAATAAGCTTCAACATACTCTTCCTTTCTATCTATGGTCAGCTATAGAACATAGAATCTTTTTTTAAGAAGATTCCTAGAAAAAAGACGCACCCTTTACTTTAGCCCTCTTTGTGTTTCTGAAAAGGGCTGAAATTCTTCTTCTTTCTGAACTGAATTATTTTAACATGACAGATCAGGCTTTAAACTGAATACTACTTAGGAGACTTTAATAGGGATTTCCTAAAAAATACCATTAGCGTCTTAGATCCTGCTGTTCTCACACATACGTGAGGGCTGGAGCTCTAACTGCCAGGGAGACCCAGGACTCTCTAATTTGACTGAAGAGGCTGCCAATGAATGCAAATTAGTGAAACGAAGGGTTTAGAAGCATTCTAATACCTTAGAACGGGAGGCAAACAAGATCAGGGGTCACATGAGTCCAGGCCTTATTTTTTGCTGATAACAATGATAAGTCTATAGTTGATGTGCAAATACTGTGGCTTAAATAGGATTTAGATGTATGTTGAAGTTAAACTTGGAGCCCATTACATTAAAGTTACTAGTGGCCTATAATGACTAGCTGGACACTGAACTAATCATCAATGCCAAGGGGCGCCTGGCAAGTGGCTTAGTCGGTTAAGCATCCAACTTTCGCTTAGGTCATGATCTCATGGTTCATGGGTTCGAGCCCCGCGTCGGGCTCTGTGCTGACTGCCAGCTCAGAGCCTGGAGCCTGTTTCAGTCTGTGACTCCCTCTCTCTCTGACCCTCCCCTGCTCACGCCGTCTCTATCTCTCTCTCCTAGAAATAAATAAAACATTAAAAAAAAAATCATCGATGCCAATAGTAACTATTTGTCCAGGCCTCATTGGCCTTCGGCTTAATAATCAGGTCACACTTTTAAAACATTAGTTGGTGCATACTCAAGGCAATAGAACTACATACTGGATACCTGGGGTATGCCATTTTATTTTTTTCTTTAAAAATCCTGTAATTCTTTCCAATATGTCTGTGGTATACACGGAAAAGGAGTAGATATTACTGTGTTTTGTAAACAATCTAGATGTGTTGGACTGAACTCATTCACAAGGAATTTATTGAATATTTACTATGCTTCCTTCTATTAAGATTCATACCTTTTCTCCATTCTGTGGGGGCTGCTCTCTGTTTGTTCCTAGGTGGGAGTTTGCAGGCTGCTATATCTGAAAACACTAAGTCTGGCAATCATTTCCATGAGCCGAAACTCAAGGACATCCTTCTGCAGATTTCCCTTGGCCTGAAGTACATCCACAACTCTGGGATGGTGCACTTGGATATCAAACCTAGTCAGTATGGCTCCCCTCTGCTCCTGCCCCTTTGGCTGGATTTAGTTCTTTCCCCACTGTCACAGTTGGTGCCTGTGTACCTACTAAGTGTTGAAGATGCTGTTTGCTGGCAAAATCACTTTCTTTCATGTGTTTCCCTGAAAATTTTAGTTAAACAGCTTAATCCATTTCTCCCCTAGGGCCAGGGGACACAGAGAGAGAAAAGACTCTTCCCAGGTAGTAAAGCATGAAGTATGAAAGTATGAAAACATTGGCTACATCCTGAATGTGTTTGACTACTGCTGTACATACTCATTCTAATTCAGCACTGACTAAAGTGAACAGAAATGAATGGTTTTGGCACTCAATAATGTGAAATTCAGGGAAATGTTACCATTTTGGGGGGCTTCTTTCTTTGTTTTGAGGCCACCAGTCTTTTCAGAGGATGGGGTGTGTCTGAGGCCAGTTTCACTTAACATAGGTATTCTTAACTACTGAGCTGTTCAGAGATTCCATGGAAGATAAGAAACCTTGGTAGTCTTGTTACACATACTCAGAAGAGGAGGAAAGGGGGGTGGCCAGAATGTCAAATACAGAAAAGACTCTTTGGGAGTAATAAAGCTTAGGAGTCATTACTTACATCAATTCTGTATTTATTTAGGCAACATCTTCATTTGTCATAAGATGCAAAGTGATTCTCCTGTAGCCCCAGAAGAGATTGAAAATGAAGCTGATTGGTTTCTCTCTGCCAGTGTGATGTATAAAATTGGTGAGACTGCCTTAAACCCTGCCCTGTATATTATCAACCTATAAAATTTATACTGACTCTCATTTATTCCAGTTTTAAAGACATGCTTTTAAAGGGCTTTCTTTCCTTCTTCTTCTTCCTCCCCCCCCCCCCCACTTTTTTTAGGTGACTTAGGTCATGTGACCTCAATAAGCGATCCGAAAGTAGAGGAGGGAGATAGTCGCTTCCTGGCTAATGAGATTTTACAAGAGGTAAAAATCAGGGAAATAGAAGGTATTTTATAATTCATTGAATCCTTTGACTCTCAAATGAAGGTTCGCAGAGCAAGAAATGAAAAGTATATGTTTATAATTAAAATTTACATTATCTCTTTTCCTATTCAGAATTGAGAGTAAGGATAAGAGAGAAACTTCTCAAAAGAAAAAAAAAAGGCATGAGCAAAGCTGGTTCAATTATGGATTAATCACTATTTTTACTGTTCTTTATAAAGGTCTTTTACTGTTTCTAATCTTTCTTAGAATTCCTAAACTCATGACTTTCCTAGTAGTAAACAGAAGCCTTTATTGGTTCAACCCATCGTTATCAGGCTATCATCCTTTTGACAGTACCACCAGCTCTGGTGAAATGACCTTTGGTTATTGTCTACCTTCTAGGATGTCTGCAGAGTCAGGGCTAGGAAGGATTTCACTCCTTCCAAGATGATTATATCTGCGACCAGCTAAGCTATGCTTGGAGTCTTTATGAGCCTGAAAGAACAAACTCGAATTAAGATAAACTCTCCAGGGCACAGCAGTGTGAATCAGGTGGATTTGCACCATATCTTCTGTCTTCTCTAGAAATAAACAACTAGAAAGAGCAGATGTGACTTTGCCCATTGTGTCTGTTTAAGCTCCTATCCACCTATCCAGTGAACCTCTCTTACCAGTTGTTTTAAGTCTAGACTCAATACACTTAGCAAACTGACTGACTTTCCTGTCTTCTGTTTTGAAGGATTATCAGCACCTTCCCAAAGCAGACATATTTGCCTTGGGATTAACAATTGCAGTGGCTGCTGGAGCAGAGTCGTTACCCACCAATGGTGCCATGTGGCATCATATCCGTGCGGGCAACCTTCCGGACATTCCTCAGGAGCTCTCAGAGAAATTATGCATTCTACTCAAGGTGGTATCTCTTATGAGATGAAGAGAAGATACAATTGTCTATTTTTTTAAAAATGTAATGGCAAGGAGGTGGGGAAAAGGGAAAGGAGATGCTGGTAGTGCCATTGGTGGAGGAAAAAAGGAATCATGATCCCAAAGCCCAGAAAAGACCTAGGATAGATCAAAAGCTTCTTAAGGAAACTTAGAGGTTATCATAAAGCCTTTTATATTTTAGTTTAATATCCTGTTACATTTTTTCTCTGCCCTTCCCAATAACCCTGTTAAGGTGGGCAACTTAGGAAACCAAGGCTTAGAGCAGTTCCTGGACTTGTATTCTCACCTTTGATAATTGATTAACTCTAAAATCAAACTTGGTCTTTTTGCTTTTATTTTAGGGTTTTAACTATTGCCATTGGTAGTGGTGATACTATGAAAAATATTTGAATTTGGGGTATACAGAAGAAAACATAAGCTACTTTATTGATGAATAATGGACACCACCACCAATCATAAGCACTATTGGGAAAAGGCATAATGTCAGTTCAGGAATTTATGTGTTCCTTGAACTCAATGATATCTGAGTATGTGTAGAGACAAGGAAAGGAAGCTCTTATGTTGAAACAGAGGTTTCAACAAAATACACTGTTGAGAAGCTTAGAATTATACTAAGAAAACAAAATGTACTTACTTCATAGCTTAAAGAACAGGATTGGTTAGAATTCCTAAAACAGCTTTAGAGACACCTACTCTTGGGGACTAAATCTGAGTTTCATAGTTTGCCTGAAAACTTGAGATTTAATTACAAAGTTGTCCTTCTTCCAAGAAGGCAAACCGTTGCTCACAGTGGACTTGAGTGCATAGCCTAATCATCTACTCTATGTATAAGCTGCTCTTAGATTTAGTTTATACATACTGAATACTTTAGTGCTGGCCCAGTGTGCTAATAATACATGTACGTTAATTCATGTAATTCTCACAATACTCCAGTAGGTGAATATTGTTCTTCCCAATATCAAAAAATGGAAAAGGAGTTTCTGCAAAGTTAAGTGATTTGCTCAAGGCTAGTTAGTAAATGGGGGAACTGGCTCTGAACATCGGTCCCCAAATGGAAGGTTCAGTGTTTTATCCATTATACAATATTGATATTTGCTATAAATAATTAGCTATTTTCTACTGTATTTAAGCAATTTTAGTTTACAGACACCCTCTACCTGAAGATGAATGCTGTAGGAATACTGTCATGGTGGGGTGGCCTTAGTTTTAAGTGAAAAGGAGCATGTTGTGGTATAAAGAAAACAACTAGGAGTTCGGTGACCTGGGTTTTAGTCTTGGTCTTGTCAATAAGTTGGACAAGCCACTTTTTATCTCAGAACCTCAGTGTCTTCCATTTAAAATTAAGGCGTTAGACAAGTTAATCACCCAACCAGCTCTAAAATAGGATACTTAAAGGCAAGTCAAAGGTGTGGATGACTGATGGCAGAGTGTAGGGAGGATGCTCCCATCCTTGGTGGAGCTAAGTTTTCACTTCTTTCTTCCCCCCTCAAAATTAAAAGCAGAGTTTCACAAAGCTCCCCAGCAGAGGTTGGGGCAGAGCTGGCTTGGGTGGGGAGATTCTCCCAGCAGTGAAGCTTCTATTTCCTTCCTTTTGGTCCAATGTTAACAGAACATGATCCACCCTGACCCAAGGGAGAGACCTTCTGCAGCAGCTCTGGCCAGAAGTCGAGTTCTCCGGCCCTCCCTTGGGAAAGCAGAAGAGCTCCAGCATCAGCTTAACTTGGAAAAGTTCAAGACTGCCACACTGGAAAGGTAGAGGTGTTTTTGAGTAAGCTCTAGGCCCAATGTGGGGCTTGAACTCACAATCCTGAGATTGAGACTTGCACGGGCATCCCTGAAAAGATAGATTCTGGATGCTGGAGTTTAGAAAACATCTATTTGTGTACTATTTACAGTGATATGACTGGTCTGGTGTGTCTTCTCTGTGGACTCAAGTGGAACCCAACATTAGAATACAAAAGCCCCTCTTCACAAAGATATGAGCAGCATGAGGCCCTTTGCAGCATGGGGCTGGGAGACTCTGTGATTAGACTCCTTGAAAGAGAAAATTCTCATTAATGCAAAGGAAGCAAAGTGAGGAATATAAGGAAATACAGCCAGCAAAGAATACTTAGTGGGATTCTGTGTGATAACAGGGGTTCAACTAACTGGAGAATGATCACCCAGTGCAAGAGAACTATAGTTAAAGTCGGAAGAGACCCATTTAAGAAATCCATTACATTTCAAGGGCAGGTAGACACACTGTCTTGGTACATGTTTAGAAGAAGAGGTATTTTTCCAACCCAAATGAAGCAGTCCAATCACGTATTCATGTAAGCTTGTATTCATGCATGCATTCATTAGTAAATCTATTCTTTCATTAAATAAATGGAAATTAATTAGATAGGATGGGGTTGGTATAAAGGTCGGGCACTGATGTTTGAGCAGAGTTCTGAAGGCATTTTTAAGTGATTATTACATACAGTATGCACTGCTGGAAATATAAAAGATGAAAAATGGTCCTTTTTAAAAATAAACGTAGAAGTCCAACTTCTTTTGGATATACAATCCATCTAGAAATGATTAGCCTAGGGGCGTCTGGGTGGTTCAATTGGTTAAGCATCCAACTTCGGCTCAGGTCATGATCTCACAGTTCGTGGGTTCAAGCCCCACGTTGGGCTCTGTGCTGACAGCCAGCTCAGAGCCTAGAGCCTGGAGCCTGTTTCAGATTCTGTATCTCCCTCTCTCTCTGACCCTCCCCTGCTCATGCTGTCTCTCTCTCAGAAATAAATAAAACATTAAAAAAAAAAAAAGAAATGATTAGCCTAAAAAATCCCCCACATGACTTTTTGGCAATGAGTTGTGAAGACACCAAGCCTTTAGTCAGGGATTCTTCCTAATAAGCAACTTGATATTTTTTTGCTCTTGTTTTGGATCCCATTTTCCCAGCTAATAAACATAATAAAACTACTTCTATTCCTATAATATATATATATGTATACATACACACATATGTTTGTGTTCTGTGTGTAAGTGTAGTGTGCACATTCTGTGAAACCAGCTGTGGAGGCATAGAGGACTGTCATCAGACATCAAAGTAATGGGGACCTACCACATAGATGGGGCAGATGACTTTTTGAAATTGTCTAGACCAGGGACTGGCAAGCTTTTCTGGAAAGAGCTGGAGAGTGAATATTTTATGCTTTGTGGGCCATATTATCTTTGTTGCAGTGACTCAGCTCTGTTGTAGTAACATGAAAGCAGCCATAGACAATATGTATAAACAGGTGGACATGGCTGAGTTCTAACAAACAGGTGTGGGCCAGATTTGACCCATGGGTTGTGCTTCACACACCCCTGCAGCTTTCGTATACAGCCAGTAGAGTTGTTTCCTTATTTAACATTTATTTTTCATGTTTCACTTTTTTCCTTTTTTTGTTTTAATTCCAGTTAGTTAACCTACAGTAGTCTATAATAGTTTCAGGTGTACAATATAAGTAATTTAACACTTCCATACGTCATCCTGTGCTCATTGAGACAAGTGCACTACTTAACCCCCATAATCTATTTAACCCATTCCCCTACCACCTGATAACTATCAGTTATCTATATTTAAGAGTCTGTTTCTTGGTTTGTCTCTCTCTCTCTCTTATTTTTTCCCTTTGCTTGTTTGTTGTGTTTCTTAAATTCCACATGAGTGAAATCAGACAGTATTTGTCTTTTTATGACTGACTTTTTTCAATTAGCATTATACCATTGAGCTCCATCCATATCATTGCAAATGGCAAGATTTCATTCTTTCTTATGGCTGAATAATATTCATATATATAGATATAGATATATACACACCCCTTTGAATTAGTGTTCTTGTATTCTTTGGGTAAATATCTACTAATGCAATTACTGAGCCATAAGGTAGTTCTATTTTTAACTTTTTGAGGAACCTCCATACTGTGTTCCAGAGTGGCTGCACCAGTTTGCATTCTCACCAACAGTGCAAGAAAGTACTTTTTTCTCCACATCCTCGCCAACATTTGTTGTTTCATGTGTTTTTGATTTTAGCCATTCTGACAGGTGTAGGTGATGTCTCATTGTAGGTTTGATTTGCATTTCCCTGATAAGTGATGATGAGCATGTTTTCATGAATCTCTTGGCCATCTGGATGTCTTCTTTGGAGAAATGTCTGTTCATGTCTTCTGCTCATTTTTAATGGGATTATTTGGTTTTTTTGGATGCTGACTCCTATTATATATTTTGGAAATGTATAAATCCTTTATTAGATATGTAATTTGCAAATATCTTCTCCTGTTCAGTAGGTTGCCTTTCAGTTTTGTTGATTGTTTCCTTTACTGTACACATGCTTTTTATTTTGATGAAGTCCCAACAGTTTATTTTTGCTTTTGTTTACTTTGTTCCTAGTAAGAAGTTGCTATGGCTGACGTCAAAAAAGTTACTGCCTGTGTTCTCTTCTAGGATTGGTAGGATTTCAGGTCTCACATTTAGATCTTTAATCCATTTTGAATTTATTTTTGTATCTGGTGTAAGAAAGTGGTCCAGTTTCATTCTTTTGCATGTTGCTGTCTAGTTTTCTCAAATACCATTTGAAGATGCTATCTTTTTCCCATTGGATATTCCTTCCTGCTTTGTTGAAGATTAATTGACCACATAATTGTGGGTTTATTTCTGGATTTTCTATTCTGTTCCATTGACCTATGTGCCTATTTTTATTGCTGGTACCATGCTGTTTTAATTACTAACAGTTTGGTAATATAACTTGAAATCTGAAATTGTGATGCTTCCAGTTTTGCTCTTCTTTTTCAAGGTTGCTTTGGCTATTTGGGGTCTTTTGTGGTTCCATACAAATCTTAGGATTCTCAGTTCTAGTTCTGTGAAAAATGTGAAATATTTAATAAGATTTGTTCTTTCAATCCGTGAGCATGGAATGCGTTTCCATTCCATTTCTCTGTGTAGTCCTCCATTTCTTTCATCAGCGTTTTACAGTTTTCAGAGTAAAGATCTTTCATCCCTTCAGTTAGGTTTATTCCTAGGTATCTTATGGTTTTGATGCAGTTATAAATAGGATCAATTCCTTGATTTCTCTTTTTGCTGGTTCATTGTTGGTGTATAGGAACGTGACAACTTTCTGCATATTGACTTTGTATCTTGTGACTTCACTGACTTCGTTTATCAGTTCTGGTAGGTTTTTTTGTTTGTTTGTTTTGGTGGAGTCCTTCAGGTTTTCTGTATAGAGTATCATGTCATATGCAAATAGTGAAAGTTTTACTTCTTCCTTATGGTTTGGATTCCTTTTACTTCTTTTTGTTGTCTGATTGCTGTGGCTAGGACTTCCTCTACTATGTTAAATAAATGGTGAGAGTGGACCTCCTTGTTTGTTCCTGATCTTACAGGGAAAGCTCTCAGATTTTCCCCATTAAGGATGATGTTAGCTGTGGTTTTTCACTGATGGCCTTTATTATGTTGAGATATATTTCCTCTAAACTTACTTTGTTGAGGATTTTTATCATGAATGGATGTTGTACTTTGTCAAGTGCTTTTTCTGCATTTACTGGAAGGATCATATTGTACTTATCCTTTCTCTTACTGATGTAATATATCTCACTGATTGATTTGCAAATACTAAACCACCCTTGCAACCCAGGAATAAATCTCACTTGATTATGGAGAATGATTTTTTTTAATGTAGTGTTGAATTTGTTTTGCGAGTATTTTACTGAGAATTTTTGCATATATGTTACAGATACTGGCTTGAAGTCTTTTTTTAGTGGTGTCTTTATTTGGTTTTTATTAAAGAAAATTTTAAACCTCATTTATACCCCAATCGGTAGGATTTAAGAAACCTAATCTGCCATGTGTTGTGGCACGTGTGTGCCAGTTATTTTTAAAGATAATCACAGGAGCTAAGTTTCTATTCTGTATATAGCTCAGGCTTGTTTCTATAAATACTGAAATTAAAAGAAAAATCTATATATTGGTTTTGATCATAAATATCCTCTTTAATTTAGGATCAAGTAATATATGTTTTCCCCCTTTTGATTGCCAGGGAACTGAGAGAAGCTCAGCAGGCCTGTTCCCCCCGGGAAGAGCGTGGTGGTGACCCTGGGGTCTTGGGGACCCCCCCAGGATCAAGAAGCACCAAACGCCTGGTGGGAGGAAAAAGTGCAAAGTCTTCCAGCTTCACCTGTGGGAAGTCTTCCCCATGAGAACTCACTTCACACCAGCCTTCCTTCTGCATTATAGTTTCCAGAAATAGATATTGACTGTGTCAATCTTCATCTTATAAACGGGAAGATTAACCAACTTAAATGCCCAAAGATTTCAAAAGCCACTCATAATTTAGCATTCACTGCCGAGATACTAAAGCTAGTAAGCCTCAAATTAGTGATGGTCCCAGGTATGATAATGGGCAGCCATTTCTCTTCTCTGTTATATTCCCAAGGCCACCTCTCCATGGTTTGTCCACATCTCAACGCTAGTTGATGCCTAATGGGAAAGCATGTGTCTGAACTAAAAAAGAGGGATCAAGGCCCTCGGCACAGCCTGTGGACGACAAGGCTGTGGTAGCTGACTGCCTCCCAAGGAACAGGGACGTTCCCTGCACATAGAAAGGAGTATAATTTTGTTTTGAGTTGAGGTAACAAGCTTATAAGAATATGTGCATGTATTTCAACAGTGCTTCTAGGGGAAAATCCTACAGCATCCCTAAAAGAATTCTCAGCCACTTTGAGCAAGTGATTTTCCTGCTCTATTCTTTGAGGGAAGACTGACACTGTCTCTCGTATTATACTTATTAAATAAATGACTTCACCATTCTGTGAGGTGGGTAGAAATGAGACTAGAGAACCTGTAATTTCTGAACTGGCTATTAACTTACGGTACAAGACGCTGGGTAAAGGGTGCGAGGAAAATTTAGTGTGGTTGTTCTCCTTCAAACTGTTTGCCCTGACCCTCTCTCTTGTAACTCTTATGACTGGTTTTGATTTTCTGGGGGTCACCAATTTCTCCTTGATTTTTCTTTTATCAGAATTTGGCTTTGTTTCCTATGATTTTATCATATTTTAATCCACATTCTTTTCTCTGTATATGTTTTTAAAGGAGCGGAACATTTGTAAATAAAGGTTTTTATCTTCTCCAAAGCCAAGTATGGGTGAAGCACTCTTCTTTGTAACATGTAATTAACAAAGAGTAGGAAATTTCTGTTAGAAATCATTTCATGAGTGGATAGGTGAGAGAATCAGTAGGTTGGTAGTAACAGGTCTTGGCTGCAAGGCCCAGTTTTGTGGGCCCCAAAGCTAATAATGGCCAGGCTCTGATATGTACAATAATGTCGGTCACAAAGGCATTGATAACTTCTAATGTGTCATATTAATGAAGGTAGCCTGTTAATGGTTTGTAGGCTTTTTTTTTTTTTTTTACTGCCTTCTATCCTTCTTTATCTTCCATTTTAAAAAGCAAATTAAGAAGTTTTAAAAAACTTAATAAACCATCATAGTGTTCTTTGTTCTGTCTTGGAGTAGCAATTATTTTCATGCAGTCAAGTGGAGTAAAGTGCTCTGTATTGCCCACTGCCATTAAAAAAAATTCCCACTGCCATTTAAAAAAATCTAGTCTTTATTCAAGGTTTTAAAATGGAGTTTATTTATCTCTTGCTTCTCCGACCCCAGCCATATCCCTTGCAGTATATTGCGAGGCCAAGGACAATTTGTGATTCAGAAAAAGGTATATTATGAAGCATATGCAATGCACAGACCAGAGTTCTTCTCAGGCATTGATAACTAGTACTATCAAGGTCTACAGCCCCTTCCCTACCCTGTTCCTCAGAGCCTGTGTTAGCATCTGAATGGCCCGGTGTCAGACTAGTGCTTTCTCTTCCTCTCTCTCTCTGCAGGTGGGGTTGGGGCGAGCATTTTCCACAGCAGCACAAAGCTACTAAACCAGCAGGTAGCTGCATAGACACTGCTGAGTAGGAGTGGGATTGGGGACTGGGTCTTTACTGGGCTGGTGATTTAATCCCTTTCAGTTCAGCTGGAGGTTTAAGTTTACCCCTTGCCTCAGTAAGAAGCTGCATCCTCAGTCCTGAAGTTCTTTTTCTGCACAGAGATCACAAGATAACCAGGGAACTAATTATGTATCAAATATTAACATCACTGCACCACCAATATTAAACAAGTTAAATACTTGGGATATAAATATGCTGCTTTACTATAGATAATATCTTCCACACTACCAACAGATAATCTTGAGACTTATGGTTAAAGGAATACTATTGTACTTCACTAAGCTCTAACATATGTATCAGTTTATAGAAGCCATTTATTTAAAGCTCTACAAAGATGAACATTGAAAGATAAAGGTCGGGATTTCAGCCTGAATAGTGAAGCTTTTTAACCTCTATATGAACCGTAATTTCAATCCTGAATTATATAAAAATTGTCAGGTTGATTTTTAAAAATAATTAACAACAAAGCATAGCCATAATAACTAATAATTGAAGTGCTGCTACAATTGCTTTTGAGCCACTTTAAAATAGATGCTAGTAAACTGTTTAGATAGGAAGTGCTGTAATTTTCCAACATTATTGTGAGGCTAGAGAAAAACCGATTTAGAAGCAAAGTGAAAACCTGATTAAAATTTCCAAAAAATGTTTTCCTACAGCAACAATATTGTCCAAAGCTTCCTATCTGTGATAAAGTATTGCCAGCCCTAATCTCTACCACTTGATGCTCATAGCTGAGACTTTTTCTAATTTAGAGGGAAAAAAGGCCAGGCCAAAGATAACTTTGTGGCCCTGGGTATCCATGATAGACACTTCTCTTTCTCAGCTAGCTTTGCAAAGGATGAGAGCCCTGAATTATTCCACTACTGCCAGGGGTAATAGTAGCTGATTAAACCTACAGTGCTATCTGTCAGTACTTCTCAGTGTTGAGTAGGCCCTTTCTGGGTCCATGGATGAAGGACAAAAAGTCTCCAATTACTCAAACTGGAGATTCTTGAAGGGGTATCTCTATTACAAAAATGCATTCAGCCATTCTTCCAGGTCCCTGATTTTTTTTTTGTTGTTTGTTTTTAGTTTTCTAATTTCAGGCTTATTTGAATATCCTTCTGTATTCTATTTTTTCTTCCTATTTTTTGTTCTGGCCTGTGACCGGAACCCTTTTAAAGCCTCTCCTTGACTTAAAGCATGATTTTTGATAAGATATTCATAAGGTCCCTGTCATCTAAGAGCTCACAGTCAATGGGGGAAAGGAGGCACCTTCATGGGCATCTAAATTATAACACAAGACAAACTGAGTGTGTAAAGAAAGTGAAATGGGAGAACAAAATAAGGACTTTATTTGAGTAGAAAAGCTTTAAAGTATGGAGAAGGGCATTTCAGATACTGAGGACTGTGAGAGCAAAGCAATGCTGGAGGATTTGTTCTGGAAAAGGAGGATCTAGCTGAAAACAAGAAAATGCTTTAACTCCATTCTTTCACGAGATTATGTATTTCGTACATTTTAATGTCTTGTCAAGAAAAAGGAAAGTAGCAGCACTTGCAACTGTTCCAACAGTCTAAGGAGCATGTGTATTGGTAAATCCTGTGTGAGGACTGAGATTAGTTTAACATGCTATTTATGCAGATTGAGATGTTATTTATAAAGTTAGGAGTTGGCCCAAGGTTGTCTGTTTTCAATTAGTGTGCTGCTTTCTGCTTTTTTTTTTTAGTTTTTTTTTTTTTTGAGAGAGAGAGAGATCATGTGAGTGTGCACAGGAGAGGGGCAGAGAGGAGGGAGAGACTGAGAGTCCCAAGCAGGCTCCACACTGCCATCACAGAGCTCAATGCAGGGCTCAAACTCATGAAATGTGAGATCATGACCTGAGCCCAAATCAGGAATTGGATGCTTAACTGACTGAGCCATCCAGGTGCCCTTTTCTGCTTTTTTGTTTTAAACAACTTTTTCCATACTCCTCAGTCAAAAAAGTATGTGCAAATAGAGGGAGAGGTCAGTGAATAATGAAATAACTTATCGGGCTAAGTGAGTGGATATAGACAAAGGTATGTGGGTGATCAGGGAGAAGTTTTTAAAGATGATTCCAAAGTTCAAGTCTGGGAGAATGCTGGTACTATTAAAAGAAATAGCTTATAAGGGAAAAATTGGCTTTGGAGGAAAGGATAAATTTAGCTTTTCATTTGACTCAAGAGTTCAAGTAGAAGTAAAGATTTTTAAACAGTAAATCATTGGAAGGCACTGACAGTAATAACAAAGCTGGTGGGGTGTAGGATGATCAATATCTGTGCAAGGCCCGAAGGCATATAACATGCTGTTTCTGGAGCTAAACATTGAAATAAAATGGTAAAAAGGTAAAATGGGAGATAAGCATCTAGAATATACCAACTAGTAAGCTAGACTTTTAGGAGTGGGTTAATGTGTGCATTGGAAACCATGTGAAATAGTTCATATTTTCTCCTTTAAGGGCAAAAATAGGCCAACGGAGGCTTTTAAGTAGGATCCCAAGGAGGCGATTTGCTTGTTAGAATGATCTGGAAGGTACCTTCATTTTCTAGAAGTTGGATGGTTCCAGGACCAGCAGAAGAGAGACCTGTGTCCTGCAGTCTGTGGGACCCCCATAGCCTTTTCCTAAGCAGGGTCAGGATTAGAGTGACTGAAGCAAAATATAAGGAATGCTCAGAAACACAGCAATCAAGATCAAGGACACTTTAATGCAATATTTTAAAAAATGTTAAAATTAATGAAAAAATCCACAATGAACAAAATATCAGAATTAAAAAAACACACACAAGATCAGTAAGCAGCAGTTAACTAACACTAAGTTTGCAACTTGGTCAAGAAAAATTGTCAGACATGGCAATTCTTGCAATTGGAAGTAAGATAAGCAAAGAAGTAGATTTTGTAAATATTATTGATCAATTTACTTCTATTAAAGTCAGGAAAGTAAAGCTGCAGTAACTTCTGGTTTTGGTATGAATAAAGCATTTAAACTTAAAATAATATCGTGAGTTTTAACATATCAACTCTTCAAATTTTCCATATTTCTTCAAGTACTTTAGTGCTCTGGGATTTTTTTTTTAATATGTAAAAACGTGTATTGGTGCACACATTTTTTTCTCATGCCTCAGAACCAACGTGGCTCAAATCTTGTGTTTAATTAAATTTTTGACTTTTTTGTTCACAGATGGCACTCCCTTAAGTTTTCGCTCTCAGCTCCTGTCCTATTTCTTGTTTTGGTTTCCTTACTGCTTTATCAGGCCTGGACCTTTCCAGTCTTTCCCAGGGACCAGCCAGCCATCCTTTGTTTCATCTACCTCGCCCTCTCCTGGTCCAAGCAGGGAAGCTTGTCAAATAATTTCATTTCATTAGAAACTTGAAATCAGCTCCACTCACCACTCGGCGGCGTTGCTTATCCGCTCCCGCCCGGAAAAAAAAAAAGCTCTCGGAACTACCGCATTAAGCAGGCTTGCTTCCCGCGGCCTAGCCGGAGCATTTCTACAGACGCACACCACAGACCTTCCGTTTTCTTGATCCTCTCGCGATGCTTACGTCCCTTCTGTATCCGGAAGTGGTCGCCTAGCTCAAGGATAGTTCGGGCTAGAGCGTCTGGTGAGGGAAGAGGGAGCCACGAGTTCTTTGCTAGGTGTTCGTGTCGTTCTTTGTGTTTAGGGAGGTGGTGGTTGTCGGTGTCTTGTATTTTCTCTTCTAACCCGTGCGGAGGACTTCAGGATTTTCTGTCCCCTCCTTGTCCCTTTACGTTATTGGTTGGAGTGTCACCACTGAGAAAAGGCGCCCTCCCGTCCCGGCGGTGAGGCCGGGGAGTCCAGGAATCTCTTTGGTCTTTGCTAACGGGTTTGGAGGCAGTAATATTTGCAGCAACAAGTTTCGGATTTAAGTCTCTTGGTGACATTCTAATAGTTACTGAGCCCTCAGTATGTGTTAGGAACTAACTTAGGAGTATTGGATGTGGCAGTGAATAAATAAGACAAAAATCCCTGCCCTAAGGGGGCATGCAATTTAAAGAAATGTGCGAAGACAGTGGAATGCAAATGGGAATAAATCAAAAAATATTTCCTATATGGGTTAGGGGGAGAGGAAGCCAAGGGTAATAAAAAACGACAATAAAGCGTTTTGGGGGATTGGGGCAGTCCTAAAAAATGCAGGTATGTTGATGTTTATGGTCGCAAGACGGACCACATGAAAATTATAAGTGCAGTTAGGCATTTAGGATTAGGGACTTTGTGCTCTTGCTATAAGATCCATTTACTTATCTCACTTTCTCTTCTCTCTCTCTCTCTCTTTTTTTTTTTTTTCCAGGGGAAGACCAAAAACTAGGTTGTAGGAAAAGCAAATAGAAGCCATGTTTCGGAGACCTGTATTACAGGTAATCACTTTCCTTATTAGTGTTGAGATGCTTATTATCAACCATAGTGATCAGCTTTCTTCAGGCTTTTGACTGCAAAGGCACCTCATGTGTACTCCTTTGATAGAGAGGATTGGGGACAGGTTTTACGTGTGTAAGTGATGTTCACTAAAACAAAACAAAAATTTCCCATTGGTATATAACGGGAGTCATGATTTTTGTTACAATGTGCTCCTTGCATTTAGATCAGTTAGGGGGCATTTAATGTCTTTAGTGATCAAGAGACTATGAGGATCGTTCCCAACATTGTCCTATAAGGCACGTGGTTCCTTTTTTGACCACCTGCCTCCTGTTGCCAGCCTTCCGCCCTGCCCCCATCTCCTTAAACTGAGGAGTGCAGCTCAAGTCATCACATCACCACCCATGTACTGTGTCCACAATTCCTTCTCATTCTACCAGTCTGACTCCTCATTTCTCCAGACATTCTAGCCAGCCTTCAGCCAGCCTAGACTACCCATTTTCCCCACTCAACCACATTTGGGCTCCAACTTGGTCGATTCTATGTAACACCTCTCTTATTCCCCATCCTGTTAAGACTAATGAAACCTGTTCCTGTTCCTTTAAGAGACCTGTTCTTATCTCCCTTACTCTACTATAGAATTGACCCTATATTTTTGGATCCCCACTTTAACCTATGCATACTTTTCACATTGTGTGTGTGTTGAAATGTGAAACATAGAAAAGTTTGGGGGTGCCTGGGTGGCTTAGTCGGTTAAGCGTCCGACTTTCGCTTAGGTCATGATCTTGCGGTTTGTGGGTTCGAGCCCCATGTTGGGCTGTGTGCTGACTGCCAGCCTGGAGCCTGTTTCAGAGTCTGTGACTCCCTCTCTCTCTGACCCTCCCCTGCTCACGCTGTCTCTCTCTCTCTCTCCTAGAAAGAAAAAAAAAAGAAACATAGAAAAGTTAATGTCTTAATACTACTATATTAAGAAATCTTTAAAGCCAGATGTAGAAGAGTTAAATGTTTAATTTAAAAGATTATCCCAGTTAATTCTTTTACCTATTTCTGCTTTTCTAGTAGGTCTTAATTTTTGCATGCCCAAAATGAAACCTATTATTCTATAAGACATCTTATTCTTTAAGAGGTCTGGCTCACTTGAGTACTTAAATTGGTACATTCCTAGAATTGTGACACAGGTACTAGTTAGTTTGAGTCTTCGCTGTGTTATAACTCTGTCTTTATTTCTTAACCACCCGCGGCCCCGAAACACAGTGATGGGATTCCAGAGTCAACAGTGTTATCGGAATGGGTGTTCATTTGGTTGGTGGACATCTGCTTTTTATATTAACAGTGCTACCATATGATACCTGTTCCTCTGATGGAATGGTTAGCCCTCTGAACATTGGAACCAGCGATGTGCCTGGTGACCTGTGGCAGTAGCCCTTGAACAGAATGCCTTTAAGGAGGCAGCAGAGGGTGGGAGGAACAGTGACAGCCTTGGTGTCGGCCAGTCCTGGGTTCTAGGCGTGACTTGCCAGTTATTTCCTGTAGGATTTTGGGCAGGTTACTCAGTCTCCCTAAGTTTCATTTTTTTCATCTTCAAAGTAGGGATAATTTTACACAGTTCATACATTTATTCTGAGGATTAACTTGTAAGAGGTAAAGCACTTAGCTGCTCTTCAGTAGTGATAGCTGTAACGTCACTGAATGCTGCTACCAGTCTGTGTCAGTTACTACCTTCCTCTGACAAACTGGCTTGCATAGTCCTGTTTTTGTACTTTATCAGAGAATCAGATTTGTCTTAGACTTTTCTCTTTGGGCTTTCGAAAGCATGAATTTTTCCAGCATATATTTGAATTTGCCTCCTATGCACAACCTTGGAAGCACCACACTCAGGAGGGTTACCACGAAAGAACAAGGAGAAGATTCTAAATAAGCTCTCCTGGGCATGCCGTCTGGCTCTGTGTACCTTTGGGCTTCTGTATTAGACGGCGCTCAAGCATTTGCACGGTCCTGGCACTGGTGGGGATGCACGTGAATGGCATAGCTTGTGTTCTGGGCGTGAATCCTGCAGTTGCTGCCGACCAGACGGTGACTGAGTATGGGTTGGTCTTCGTTTGCATTTGCCTTCCCCCCAAATTAAAGCCGTTTTACTCATTTGTTCCCCTTTAGGTATTTCATCAGTTTGTAAGACGTGAGTCTGAAGTAGCTAGCAGCCTGGTTCTTGAAAGATGTAAGTAGTGATTAATTTCCAAGTTTAAAGTATGCTGCTTATAGCAATGTGCAGCTCACCTTAATCGTGCTGTAGGAGAGGTGCACTGGTTGGGTTATACTCAGGGAATCATCATGCCTTTGGCTCTGTTCACCTCTCTGCTCTTGGCCTTGCCCGGTCAGGTTGCAGGGGCCTCCTAGAATCTCCTGGAGTCCTATCTGGTTATCTGATTCTTCCAAGGTCATGTGCTATCTGGCTGAGAGAGTGAAACTTTGTGAAAGCTCTTCTTTCACGGAGTAGTCCTGTGTATTTAAAAAGATGTTCAGATCTCAGTTTTGTTTTTTTAACCATACAGTTTTTTTAAAAAAAGGTATTTCAGAGAATTTAAGGTAAAATAAGGAGCTTAGTGGTTGTTTGTGGGCAACTTTCTCTAAGAATATTTTCTCCTTTCTTGCCAACCCTGTTTTCTCCTCCCATACTGCCTTTATTTGCCTCTTCAACTTACCTTCTGAACTTGTAGAACTTGGGTTTTGCTCCATGCTGAGATTGAAATTCAAGTAGTACTTGTAGCTCTTTGTCTTCCGGACCTTTCTCTCAGGCTCCTTTAATTTACACATTGTTTCAGCTCTGAACCGTGTGCAGCTCCTTGGGCGAGTGGGTCAGGACCCCGTCATGAGACAGGTGGAAGGGAAAAACCCAGTCACGATATTTTCTCTAGCAACGAATGAGATGTGGCGGTCAGGGGAGAGTGAAGTATACCAAATGGGTGAGTAAAACAGACTGGGGTTTTAATTGTATCCACAACAAATAGACATTCTTTCTCAGTTATCTAATTAGAGAAGAGCTGCTTTTAGAAAGAATCTCAGATTCTGTGCTTCTCTCTTCAAAATTGTGACATTGGTTTTGCTGGGCGTGTTGCCTTTTGGCATTTGTTTTGTCTGCTGGCATATGTAACCTGGTTTTCTGTGCTTGAGATTTAGGTGATGTCAGTCAAAAGACGACATGGCACAGAATATCAGTCTTCCGACCAGGCCTCAGAGATGTGGCGTATCAGTATGTGAAAAAGGGGTAAGTTGAGGGAAGAAGGATCTTACATATCAAATGGTTTAAAAAACTCGCAACAGGTGTTCTCAGGGAATGCCTAACTCCTTTATTCTCCTGACCACTCTGTGTTAACTCGAGATACTTATTCAGAGCTTAGTGTTACATGCATGGCGTGTCGCCGTGTGTGTCTAATTCAGAGATGTATAAAACATGGTTTCGCTTGCTAAGAATTTATAATTTGGGCCAAATAAGAGGTATACATGAACACAAGCCGATGGGGCAAGAGAGAAGGCAAAGTGTACTGAGTGCCGTGTGAGCAGGTGCAGGCCATGCTGTTGGGAGTTCCCATGCCGCCACGGCCAGGGATCCCCACGGCGCGGGCCTTGCTCTTGGCATCTGCGTGGAGTCCTTCGTGCAGGATCTGGAATGTCTGTAGCCTGGTGCAGGTGAGGTGTTACGGCAGCATTCACAGCCGTTGTTTTATATTTGATAATTTTAGATCGGCTCCCTTTTGGGATGCTTAGACTGATTATGTATAGATAAAAAGTGTCTTTTCCAAATCCGTGGAAGGACGAAAGGGTGTTGAACAGCAGTTGTATTCATAGTTAATATATTCAGAAATGTGCTAGTTTTACAGAAATAAAATACATTTCACGAAAATTCCAGGAATAACTAAAATTCCTGTTGCTTTTTAATAAACTGTGTTCCTTTTTTTACACGTACTTCCATAGTCCTTTATAGACGTAGAAGTTTGTGCATCTACACATACATATAAATACAGGAAACTTCAAGGAAAAAATGTGTGCAATTTATGGGTATATTTGACACCCAGTCATTTTACCAGTATTGTCTCCTATATTATGCTTTTTTGGTAAAGGTAGATACTGAAAATTAATGCTAGTGTGCATTTTCTACCCTTGAAAATCAGAGTTATGGTTGTCTTCTAGTGGTTCAGCCTTCTAAACAACACAGAAATTGTTTCAGTGATTAAGTCTAAGTGAAATACTATGCCGAAAACCTCTGTTTTGAATTTTAATAATCTAAGTCCTTGGAAAATAAATTCGTGAAACTAACTATGGAAAGGAATTGAAAAATAAGTGAAAATCAACAAATCTGTTGGGGAGTTGGAAATCAAAGGTGAAGAAAAATGACACTTTGGAAATCAGTCCTAGAGATTTAAAGGATGCCACTATGTTGTTCTATTTCATGCTCTTAAGATTTTTTTTTTGAGAGAGAGAGAGCACGTGCATGATTCGAGTGTGTGTGCACATGTGCGCGAAAGCAGGGATGTGGCAGAGGGGGAGGGAGATAGAGAGAGAGAGAGAGAGAGAGAGAATACCTCAAGTAGGCTCCATGCTCAGTGAGGAGCCTAACATGGGGCTTGACCTCACTACCCTGGGATCATGACGAGCCAAAATCAGAGTCAAGACGCTCAACCCACTGAACCATCCCCCCAATTTCATGGTCTTAAACTTTTTTTTTTACAGCTTTAAGAGCCACGGTCAGGTCAAGGCTGAGATTGTTGTCCTTCTTACCTAGATGTGTCAGGTCTGCATGGACTTTCTGTTTTAGTACTCTTAATACTGCTAATTTTGATCTTTGAGATGTGGTAGCAAAAATCAGGTTATGCATGATTCTGTATTCATTCTTAGTGTGTACTTGTTCCTGCCCCTTTCTGACTCTTTTCAAACAGACTGAATAGTGTAAGTTTTATTTTATCAGGTCTCGCATCTATGTGGAAGGGAAAGTTGACTACGGTGAATACACAGATAAAAACAATGTGAGGCGACAAGCAACAACAATCATAGCTGGTAAGAAGCTCGTGGGAACAGTTGTTCCCTCCTCCCTCTTCCCTTCTTAAAGCCTGACTTCTCATAAGTAACTTTAACAGGGCTTTGGGTACGGATGCTGAGATGGTCAGGCAACTCAACAGTGAGAATTGCGAGTGTGGCTTGGGGATTTGCTGTGGTTTCTGTAGTGCCTTGAGAAAATTCTCTCTGTGCTCAGTTTCATTTCACAAGTAACTTTTGAGTAGAGCGTCTGTTGGTCCTACTGTTTGAAGTAAGAAAAACTTTAGTGTCTGAGAACATGGCCTGAATGGGCAAAAGCCTGAGCCAAAGTAGAGTTACACAGCTGTGAGGGCATTAGACATTTGTGCAGATTTATTCAGAACCTGCTCGGTGCTGAACATGATGATTAAAAAAAAATTTTTTTAATGTTTATTTTTGAAGGAGAGAGAGAGACAGAACGTGAGTCGGGGAGGGACAGAGAGAAAAAGGGAGACACAGAATCTGAAGCAGGCTCGTGAACTGTGAACTGTGAAATCATGACCTGAGCCAAAGTTGGATGTTTAATCAACTGAGCCACACCAGCACTCCAGGACATGATTTTTCAGTTCCTATTTTTCTCATTAAACAAAATGCAAACAGTTGTAGGAAACATGGACACACAAAGCTTAAAGAACATTAAGAAGATAGTTCCTAGGGGCGCCTGGGTGGCTTAGTTGGTTAAGTGTCCGACTTTCGCTTAGGTCATGATCTCGCGGTTCGTGGGTTCGAGCCCCGCGTCGGGCTCTGTGCTGACTGCCGGCTCAGAGCCTGGAGCCTGTTTCAATCTGTGACTCCCTCTCTCTCTGACCCTCCCCTGCTCACACTCTCTCTCTCTCCTAGAAATAAATAAAACATTAAAAAAAAGNAAAAAAAAAAAAAAGAAGATAGTTCCTAGGCGTGCCTGGGTGGCTCAGTTGGTTGAGTGTCTAACTTTGGCTCAGGTCATCTCATGGTTCAGGAGTTCTAGCCTTGCGTCTTCTGTCAGCAGAGCCGCGTTGGATCCTCTGCCCCCATCTCTCCCTGCCCCTCCCTTGCTCGTACTCTTACACCCTCTCTCAAAATAAATAAGAACATTAAAAAAAAAAAAAAAAAGGATATCTTCTAGAGCAGAGTTTTCAAACTATTTGGACAATTCTAAAAGAATTTTGAAAAGATATAATGCTTTTGGATATATTTAAATTGACATGAAAATTTCTTTTAATAAGAAATTGTTATTTTGAAATGTGTTAGTGGATCTAAATATCATAGCAGTTTGATGCTCATTATTATTTTCTTAAAAAATTGAACAAGCTCTTAAGCATTTGGAAATTTTGTTATTTTTTGTTCTCTGAACTTGTTTTTCCATTTTCTCCTAAGAAATGTATTTTAACATATTGTACAATTCAGAACTTTTTACTATTCCTTCTACCACGTTTGTAACATATGTAAACAGAAATTTTAAAATATTAAAAAATTATGTGATATTAAGGTTCTAAATGTTATATATTTTTGATTGGGTTATCATTATAGTTGTTTTTAGAACACATGTGATTAAAGCAATTAATATATAAATATGAAAACTGAAATTTTATTAGAACTACATCTTTTAATGAGGGAGATGGTTCCTTTTTTTTTTTCACCCTCTTGGAAAAATTGTTAAAGTAAGACAGTTGTTAAACATTAATTCTTTTGTTTGTTTTTATGGACATAAACACTGACAGAAATCTCATTTTTTTTAAGTAAGTAGATGGGAATGAAAGAAAGTAATGTCTCAGTGTTTTACGAACTTCTGAGATATGCCAAAATTAGATATTATTTAAAAATAGATTTTTTTAAACTATGGAAAATGTCAAACATACACAAACGTAGAAAGTAAAAAAAAGGAAATGTGTCATTTGGCTTCAACAATTATCAACTGACGGCCAATATGATTTCTTCTATGCCCACAGCCTGCTTTTCCTCCCCTTGGATTATTTTGAAGTGACTCTCAGACATTATATTATTTGATTCATAAGGGTTTTCAATAGGTGTATCTGAAAGGTATGGATTCCTATTTAAAGCATAACTACTGTGCTGTTATCACACATAATATTAAGTTATTTAAATATTTTTCCAGACATCACAATGTTTAAATTTTTTTTGATTGCCTCATAAATATGAGCCCATACACTATATTACATGGCTTATATCTTGAGTCTCTTTCTTATTTTTTTAAACAACAAATTTATTTTCTCATAATTCTGCAGGCTAGAACTCTGAGAACCTCTCTCTTTTAGTTGATAGATTTTCCTTTTATCTTTCTCTTTTACTTTGCTTCAGAATTCATGTCTTAACCACTCTACCATATTGATAAATTCTCATTTGTTGTAAATAATAGTTAAAATATATGTTTTCTTACTGGTTTCTTTGAACATATGTTGGCTTTGAAAACCAACAGTTATTATTCCATCCTCATTATTAGATCTTAGATGAGGTCCTTTCTGATCATTTTGCTTGCATAATTCTTTAAAAAATTTTTCTTTTTAATGTTTATTTACTTTTGAGAGAGAGAGACAGAGCATGAGTAGGGGAGGGGCAGAGAGAGGGAGACACAGAGTCTGAAGCAGGCTCTAGGCTCTGTACTGAGCTGTCAACACAGAGTCCGATGCGGGGCTTGAACCCACGAGCGGTAAGATCATGACCTGAGCTGAAGTTGGATGCTTAACCGACTAAGCCACCCAGGTGCCCCAACTTCCATAATTCTTGAGTGTCTTGAAAGTATTTCATTTCTGCATGCTCTGTTCTTCCTTGGGCCATGTCTCCAGAGATATCTACCTGTTCAAAAAATTTTCTGGCTCAGTCAGTTAAGTGTCCGACTCTTGATTTTGGCTCAGGTCATGATCTTAAGGTTGTGAGATTGAAACCAGTGTTGGGCTCCCCCGCTGAGCTTGGAACCTGCTTAAGATTCTCTCCCTCCTCCTTCTGCCCCTCCCCTGCTTGCACAGGCATGTGCATTCTCTCTCTCTTTCAAAACATAACTATTAAAAAGAAAAACTAATTTTTTTTTTTTTAACCTCATAGACTATACTTATGATTTCAGCAGTGGAAAACCAAACTTTCTTTTCTTTTCTTTTTCTTTTTTTTTTTTTTAAGTAGGCTCCACACTGGGCATGGAGGCTTGAACTCCCAAGGCTTGAATTCACAATCCTGAGATCAAGACCTTGAGCTGAGATCAAGAGTCAGAGTTTTAACCAGCTGAGCCACCCAGGATCCCCAAAACCAAACTTCTTAATAAAATAATTGACATTCTAAATCTTTATCAATTATGTATTTGTTTAACACTTTCATACCTCATTGTAAACCAAAAGTGTGGATAAACTTTGGACTGTGTGACTTATTCTGAACCAAAGCCAGTTACTTTGGTTCAATTTCAATAGAAAGAGTTCAGATTATCTGCCATTTTGTTTTCTTCTTGTCACTAGCATTCACTGCATGGGTGAGCTAATTGAGCTATTAACATAGGTTTAGTAGTAAAAATGAATAGATCTTTAGTGACATTTGAATTGACAGAAATAGGGTTTAAATTTGGTTGCTTGGTTTTGTAGTTCATGTTTTTTTCTCCTAGAGAGCCATGTCTAGAACTCAGAGTAATCACCAGTGGATGGCACTCTTGCCATTTTACACTATGGTGTCTGTTCTAATAATCTCTTATGAAATAATCATTCTGTACCAGATATTCTGTTTTTGGAAGACTAGTCATAAATACTGCCATGTAATGGCCACTTTTAAAATAATTCTAACGTTGTAAGTATCTAGATATTTTCAAGTTATACAGAAGTACTACTTTTCCTTTGCTTGTCCTGAACTAACTCTGTCTGGGACAACATTTCAAGTGCAGTATCTGATGTTCTTATATGAGAATGCTCTCTCTGTAATATGGGTTAGTAAAAATTTTCCCCAAGAACGAGTATATAAAAATCCAGGTGTTTGAAAATTAAAAAATAGAATGTCTTCTGTGTGAGTGTTGCAGCCTACTTAGAAGAAGTCAGTAAGTCTGTGTTTGCCAGCAGGGCCACACATTGGACCCTGTCCTCTCTCTACGTCCAGTGTGCGGAACGTTGGGCCCCTTGTGTGTGAGAAGGTGCTGCCTGGTTCCGTGGCCTCGATCTGAGCATTGCACACTGTGAAATCTGTGACTAGCTCTTTTGTAGGAAGTTAGTGCCAAGCAGTTACAACTGTGTTCACACCTCTTCTGACAGGGTCTGAATTGTTGACAGAAAGCTGAAGCCCAGCTATTAGCTCCATCTGTGGCTGTTGTCTGTGCCGCTCATGAACGTAGCAGAAGTTACTTCACATTTTGGGAATTTTTCTAAAGTCCTTTAGTTAACAGCATTTAAGTTTGTGTGTGTTATAGAGGAGTGATTGAGGCGGAGAAAGAGTTCTGAAAATAATGCTTATGATTTGGTCTCTTTACAGATAATATTATATTTCTGAGTGACCAGACCAAAGAAAAGGCGTAGAGTGGACGGTTCTTCGTTGACCATCGTTTGGTACGGTCTCACTTCCAAATCATGTATAGTCTTTATAGTTCCTAAGAACAAGAATTAAAATATTCTTTTATATAAAATGAGTGATACTACTTCTCCTGACTGTTACTCCCCCTCCCCTTTTTGTCTCATAAACCTTGGCAGCCAATTGTTGATTCTTTTAGGGATGGTTTCTGTGTACAAGAGTGTAAAACAGTGAACTGTCGGGTTCATCTGTGTTATGGCAGAAGGATGAGTGAGTGTCCTTTGGGATGGCCCCTTGCTCTTTGTGCACACTTTGTATTTTGGTACTGGTCCAGCCACTGAGTGTTGTAAGTCAGGCATTTATCCCATGATTGTGAGTAATGATTTTCTTACTGTTTGCTCTATAAACTGGATGGCGGGGACTGTTTCTTTTCTGTTACCTGCACCTTAACCAGTGCTTGGCACAGAATAGGTACTTGATAAATGTTGACAGAGATGAATGATCCTAAAGGGATATTAAGCTTCAGTCCAGACTGAAGGGGGCTGGTGAACAGTGGTTGGTTTCTAACCTAAACAGCTCTAAGACTAACCTGCCTTCTTCACATCTTTTGTTTTTGGGCAGTTTTCACTAGTAGCATTTATGAAATAGTTTATCAGCGGAAAAGACCTAGTATACAAATAGGGATGAACTAGTTCATTCCTAGGCGATGCCACAAGGGCTCTGGTTCCCCTGGTTTCTGTCTTTCTGAGCCCCATTCTCTATCCTTTTAGTCTAATCCAGAACTTCGGGGAGTCGCCTAAACAACCTTTGACATTGTCACTGTAGGTTAGAGCCTCAGGTGTGAGGCTCTTTTATTTTTCCACCTGGTCTCTCGGTGCACATACACCGATCATTGTGTACACACAATTACTTTCATTATGAGAATCTGGAAATTACGGAGTACTAGTAATTTCCTAATAAATATTACATAAAATATAGTCTATTTTTTGAATGCATCCTGTACTTTTTAGGTTTGCCTCAGACCTCCACAGGCCTGCTTGCTGGCTGCACTTGTTTGGCATCGGCTGCTGGTGAGCTGGTTGTCCAGTTCAAGTGGTAGCTGTCCCTCATTCGTTCTAGGCCACTCGGGCTCCAGCTTCGCCTCCAGCCCAGCCTGTTTGTGGCCCAGACGGCACGTGTTGTCCCCTCTGCCCGAGAGCAGGGTGCTGACTGTAGCTTGGGTCATGCTGCCTGTGGACCCACACTGGAGCAGCTTGTTGCACTTGCAGTACAATTTGGTCAAGGAAAAGATGGAATTCCGTAGCTTTACTCTCTTTCCACCCAGGATGAGTAGAAAAGGAATTGCCATTTCCTCGTGTCAGCCGTCTTTTCCTGCAGCTGGACCACCGATCAGTACATTAAGTCTGCTTTCTGAGTTTGTGCGTTAAAACTGTCTGGTGATGCAGTCCTCACCCCTTTGTGCCCCATTCCTTAAGCAAAATGTAGATAAAATTTATCTTTCGGGCAACTCTTCAGCAAAAGCTGCTTTTATATACTTGAAAGTTGTGAGAAGTTCTGCAGATTCTGATGCCTAAGTGGTGTGATGAATCTGTGCTTTGGGAAGGCGATAGGGGAACAGAACAGTTCAGTGACCAGCCTGGGGCAGCTCTGAGTCCAGGGCGCAGGGGCAGACAGGTGCGCCGCGCAGGACCCCTGGCAGCTGAAGGCGTCGCTGCGCTCCTACTGCACGTTGCCTGGACGGCTCTGAGGTTGGGCCGCAAGGCCTTCAGGGTCAGGCGTCGATGCGGAGGCCTCGAGGCCTCGGCATGAACGGCATGAACGGATGCAGCAGACGTGCAGTCCGCAGCTGGCCGGGCTCCCGGAGCATCAACTCTGCCCTTCCCACCTGGGCGGCCCCGGGTGCTGAAGACTCTCTACCTCTCCCAGGCTGATCTCCGGGGGTAGATGTGGAACCTGGTAGCTGTAACAGTCGGTCAGGGTCTTCTAGTCCCAAGTTTTGTGTCTTGCATTCCCTTTGTCATCTTTTTACGGTGTCAGGGAATATACCTGTGGGAAACTGCCCTGTGACTTTTAGTTTGGGATTCCATGTCAGGTGAGAAGGTGAGTGGGGTGCACAGAAGTGTGGGAGAGAAGGTATCAGACAGCACGTGTGGTATTCTCCCACTTTTGAAAACGAAGTAATAGATATAAATACATGTTTAGTGAAAGTCTAGGAGGAGAAACATCAAAAGGTTCTGATGATCTCTGGATGGCGCGAGTATGTGTGATTTTTCTTCTTCTTATTATTATTTTTTTAGCCTTGAGCTTATATTACTTTATAAAAGTAAGAAAATAAAAGAAAAAAATAAGAAAAACCTAGTAAAACTGTTCACAGTTTTGGAAAACAAAAATCTTTCCATTATTTCCAAGCTAGGCTGGTACTGCTGATTGACCTTCAGCTAGTACTTACTGCTTCCTGTACCAGAGGCGAACAGGATAATCTTCATGTATTTCCCTCTATCGTCTGTATCGTTGTAGCGCATGCTCAGATACGTTACTTACCTTTTTCCCCCTTCTTTTTCTTTTCTTTTCCTCTTAATACATGTATATGGCGCACAACGACTGACTTGAAAGATCACCCTGTATGAGATCCACTGTTTGCTGCCAATACAATTTTCAGAGAGTCATTCATTTCTTAAAAATGATTGGATAGTTAATCCATAGACATCTAAAAACACCAAAGACATGTTTTTGTGGCTGTTGGGGATTACTTGTCATTGCCAGCTGGGTTACAGCCTAACCTTTGCAGCTCAGGAGAAATTACTGGTGGTTTCCCTTTGTTCCCAAAAGAGATCATGCAGTTCTTAAGGTTAGGGTTATCTTTTACCCAGATGGCCCGTTTGTCCCCATCTAGTGTAGCCTAGCAAAGTGACACTATAGGGCTTTCGCTCTTTTTTTTTCTTTTTTTTTTTTTAATGTTTTTATTTATGTCAGAGAGAGACAGACAGACAGACAGCAGGGGAGGGTCAGAGAGAGAGGCAGACATAGAATCTGAAACAGGCTCCAGGCTCTGAGCTAGCTGTCAGCACAGAGCCGGACATGGGGCTCGAACCCACAAAGAGTGAGATCATAACCTGAGCCGAAGTCGGATGCTCAACCGACTGAGCCACACCCAGGCGCCCCCATTATAGGGCTTTCGAAATGTTTGTTTGGATTGCGCTGAAACACTGACATGAAAATGAAGGCAGACTCACTCGACTTATTTTTCTGTCCAGGTTTGCATTATGTGCTGTGAAGCTTGGTGGGAGTAACAGCAAGCAAATCATTGTAGGAAACTTAATGAGTTACAGAGAAATTCTTACAGGAAAACAATTACCTATTAACGGCTGACATTTTTGTATACTTACTAGGTTCCAGGCCCTGAGCTCAGTGCTTTTTTCGTTGTCTTCTTTCACTGTTACCCTAAGAAGGTGGTATCCTGGTTTTAGAGGCAAGGAAACCTGAAACTGAGTGATTAAATAACACGTCAAAGTCATGCAGCTTGTAAGAGGTACAGCTGCAGTTTGAGTTTAGGGGTGTGGGGTTGGCATTTTGCTTTCCGCCTGGCAGTCTGCTTCCCACTGCCTCCCACCTCCATTGGCCCAACTATCCCAGACCCCCCACTGCTAACTTTTGTCCCTGCAGGGTGCTTCTGAGTCACCCTGGGAGTTCCACTGCATGATCGGTTTTGACTGGGGGTAGAATTAGAGAGAGAGAAATACCTCTGCCTCTTTATTCTTTCTCATTTTCAGTCCGATGATCCTATAGGAAAATAAGTCACAGTTAATTTTTCTACCAGGTTAGCTTCGCTTACTCCTCTTGATCCCTTGTTATCAGGCAATGTTTCTTTACTGGTTAAAATAGGTTTACATGGTCTCCTCCTTTCATTGTTTCCTCCACTCGTTTCCTTCCTACTGAGAGTTGAAATTGTCAGCAGGATTGTTCAAGAATTTGACAGGCTCCCTTTTTAGAGAGCGAGGCTGTGGTGTGGGCAGGGGTCAGTGGCATGATAGCCCCCCACCCACTACTGTATATGCCCCTGTGCTGGGTTCCCACAGCGTGTGATAAGATGATGTGTAGCTTTTTAGGCTGTTCAAGTCATGCAGACAGGATCGTGAAATTTCTCTTTTTTGTCTGTCCTCTTCATCCATTTGCTTTGGACCTCAGGGTGGCGTTTGTCCGTACAAGCGGGCACCGTAGCATTTTGTCCTTTTCCTGCCATGCCTGTCCTCTGAGAAGAAGGTGGTTTATCATGGTTCCCTTGAGGCTGTTAGTCACACAGCCTGGATTTGCTTCACTTCCCAGCTGAGTGACCTCTGCTGAGTTTCTTAGCTTTCCCTTCCTTGGATTTTTTGTCGTTTTGCTTTCCTGTGAATAAAACAGGGATGATAGTAGTCCTACTTTATAGTAGGCCTGCAGGGAAGAACACCATGAATAATACATATAATTTAGCACGTATTAACTGAGTCCAGTGCTCAGTGCCTACTGGCCATTATTACTGTTGTTTGTAGTTACTTTTTTTTTTTTTAATTTCTGAGAGAGAGAGAGACAGCGTGAGCATGGGTGGGTCAGAGAGAGAGGGAGATACAGAATCTGAAGCAGGCTCCAGGCTCTGAGCTAGCTGTCAGCACAGAGCCCGATGTGGCGCTCAAACCCAAAACCATGAGATCATGACCTGAGCCGAAGTTGGATGCTTAACCAGCTGAGCCACCCAGGCGCCCCTGTTTGTAGTTACTTTAAACAACGCCTGTCCCTTCCAGTCACCATGCCCATCTCCCCAGGTCTCATGAGACATCCCTGGGAGCCTGTAAACTCTAGATTAGTTTATTGTACTTGACCTTTGTTGTTGTTAATGTCCATGGATTACTGAGAACATAGTCCAGTTTGGTAGTGTTTTTTTGGTTTGCTTTTAATCATCTGTGGCTATTTACAGTTAATATGGGCATCTTTTTAAACATGAAAGTCATTTGGGCATCTGCTTCTTACCTTGCATGCATACAGCGCTGGATACAGGGATAAATATAACAGGACTACTGCATTGAAGGGGCTCACAGTCTAGGATGATGGGGACCGGACGGGGAGGACCGAAGCAGGAGCCAACGTGCAAAGTGTGCTATGGTGTGGGGAGCAAGCTAGTGATGGTAGAAATAAAGTCCTGCGGCACAGACGAGAATATCGTTAGGTTAGTTTTCAGCAGAGGAAACAGCACAAACAATGGCCCAGAAACGTAAAAGTATATGGATCAGTGAAAGATAAACCTGACAAGGGGACTGGGGCTGGTTCATAAAGGGCCTTGAAAGCTTACAGGGGACTTTTTGGCAGTGGGGAGCTGCATGTTTTAAAATGGACATAACAGAATGGTGCTTGAGAAAGAACAGTGAAGACCTGTGAAGGGTTAGAAGTGGGGAAAGCTTGCAGGCAGTTAGAAAGCTCCTGAAAGAGCCTCGAAAGGTTAGCAGAGTGGGCATTACAGGTGACACAAGGCAGATTTGGGGTTCATGTCGATTTGTTTACTGTACAACAGTTGTCTAGACCCTGTGCTGCACTCCAGGTTAGGGATACTGAGAACTTGGAGCTCCGTCCAGGTTGCACTGGGTACCGTAGGTGCTGGTGGGGAGAAAGGCCGTGAAGAGATCCTTCTGAGGCTGCTTGGGTAGCTGTGTGGATAGTGATGCTTTGTTTCTGAGACTAACGAATGTGAATGTGGGAGCAGATTTGAGAAGAGGGAAGATCAGGAATAGTTCTGAACATAGTTTAATCATAGACTTCCTACCTTATATTTGATGATTAATGAGTGGAGCTCAGAAGAGAAGTTGAGACTAGTGGGGTTTTTTTCTTCTGCCAAACACGTTTTAAGCACATTTTGTGAGATAGCAAATGCTGCCACGATTCCAGCTTTCTGTTGTGGAAAACCGTATCATGGGGAAGATTTCCAGTGGCTTCCCTGTTTCACAGTGTAGCAGGGGTTTATGTTGATCAGGTGTGGTAAGATGACAGATATAAAGAAGTGGTCTTGAAAGCAGAGTTTATTATAGTTCTCAAGAGGAGGGCACATGCCTCACCATTAGAACTGCTGGGGAAGCCCCAGGACAGGCCAGAAGGCAGAAGGAAGGAGGGAGGGTGTGCGCCACAGCTTTCATTGTGATGTCTGTGGGATGAATGATTTTCACCAGGCTCTGGGCAATAGTGGGTCTCCCTAGCCATCAGGTGCCTCTGAGCGGAGTGTTCTGGACTGCAGGAGCCTGATTAAAGGAGGCTGATGGCACATGTGGAATCAGGATTGGTTGGTTTGCATATGAAAGACCTGCTTTTGGGTTAGTTTACTATTTCTAGGAATTAGCTCATGTTGGGAAGGTGTTAGTTCCTCCCAGGGTCTTCCAGGCTCCAGGATGTCGAAGCATCATAAAATACAGAAAAGAAAAAACATGATTAATACACTACCCAATATCCGTTATCCTTTCTACAGAACCCATTGATTTACAGAGCCCATATTTTATTGGGGGTGACGCTGAAAGTGTGCACGTGTGCACGGCTGAAAGATTGCATTCCTGTTCTCCTTTGCAGTTCACTGTTGCTAAGGGGGTGTAAGCAGAAGCCGTTTGGTGGTGCTTGCAGGAAAGCCCCTTAAATGATTAACTCTCTTGGGAGGCTCATCCTTATGCTTCTCCAGACCCTCACCTGCCTTTTTCTGGTCTGAAATGTGGACCTGATGGCTAAAAATCTCCAGTAGCCATTTTGGACCACGAGGCTATCTTCAGGATGGAGGACAGAAGAGGCTGGAATCTGCGATGACCACGCAACCACCATCTCGGTCCTGGACAGTCTACCTCTGGACTTCTGTGGGAGACACAAATAAATCTCTACCTTGTTTAAGCCACTTATTTGTGCTTTGCATTGAAACTTAATTCTTACTAATTCACACATTCTTTATCTCCATATACACAATGAATTCATTACTTCAGTTCTTTGTCTTCTGCTGGTGGCAGTAAAGTCTTCTGCTGCCACAGTTCTTCAGACTTTTAATCTGTCTTATTCTTTTTTTTTTTTTTAATGTTTTATTTATTTCTAGGAGAGATAGAGACAGCGTGAGCAGGGGAGGGTCAGAGAGAGAGGGAATCACAGACTCTGAAACAGGCTCCAGGCTCTGAGCTGGCAGTCAGCACAGAGCCCGACGCGGGGCTCGAACCCACGAACCGCGAGATCATGACCTAAGCGAAAGTCGGACGCTTAACCGACCAAGCCACCCAGGCGCCCCTAATCTGTCTTATTCTTAATTTGAGGAGGGACTGGGATGTAAAATGTACACAAATCCTTGGCAAATAGCCTTACAAAGAGTAAATATAAACATTTTTTCATCAAATAAATGGTTTAATTTTGCTTGAAGCCTGAAATGAGGACCCTTAATTAATAAAGTCGAACTTAAGGAAGAACAGAAGTACTGCCCTTCTTCTGGCAGTAGAGCAGACTAGATGCAGAATAACCAGATCCTAAGTACGGCATAGTTTTCATTGCATCCTAGGGTACCTAAGTTCAGGCCACCGTAACAGAATACCATAGACCGGGTGATTTGAACAATAGACGTTTTCTCGCACTTCCGGAGGCTGGAAGTCTCATATCAGGTTGCAGGATGGTTGGTTTCCTGGGAGGTCCATGTTCCTGGCTTAAGGAGGCTGCCACCTCGCCGTGTCCTCACGTGACCTACTTGTGCCGGCAGAGAGGAATTCTGGTGTCTCTTATAAGGCCACTAATCCTGTTTTGTCAGGGCCCCACCCTTATGCCCTCTTTCCACTTTCTTACAGGCCCTATCTCAAAATACAGTCACATTGGAGATTAGACTTTTCTATGTGAATTTTGAGCAGACCCAATTCAATCTGTAGCATTGGACTTGCAGGAAGAAAGGGACTTCTTCAGGTGACAGGTTCTAAACTAAATGAAACCAGAGCAATAAGTAGGCGACACACTGAAAAATGGAGTTAGTTCCCTGATGACATGCTAACTTGACATCGTGGTTTGGAGATGAAAACAGTATGTGTCAAAGGTGGGCCTCAAACAGACGTGAAATTAGAAGAGCATTTTTCTCAAAATGAACAAGGCAAGGATGCCTTATCACTACTTCTCTTTAATAGGTTGCTTGTACAGAGGCTTTAGCAAGCATAGTTGGGAATGAAAGAAAAAAGTATTAAGGTGGAAAGAAGAAAGTTACAAATGCTGCGATTATATAGAAACCACGAAACACTCTAGATGAATAATTAAAAGTTGCTGGAAATAAGATCAATTTACAAAAGTCACGGGCAAACAATAAATAGTGAAGATGCTGTGTACAAGAGCATCAGAAAATGAGTCTTCCAAGAGTGTGCCATCTCTGCGGAGCGCATTATAAAACTTTATTGAAATACATTAAAAGAAGACTAAACACATTGGTAAACCATGTTTATTGTAAGCATCAGTAATGTAAGGATCTCAACCCTCCCCACATTGATGTTAAAGATGAAAACAAAAATTTCCAGCTTTTGGGGGGCAACTGGACAAGTTGATTTATTTTTTATTTTTAATGTTTATTTATTTTGGAGAGACAGAGAGAGACACAGAATCTGAAGCAGGCTCCAGGCTCCAAGCCATCACACAGAGTCCAACGCGGGGCTTCAATCCACGAACTGCAAGATCATGACCTGAGAAACGCTCAACCGACAGAGCCACCCAGGTGCCCCTGGACAAATTGATTTTAAAGATGGGTTGATAAGCAAAAGTCCATGACCAAATAGCATACTTCTGAAGAAGAATGAGATGGGGGAATTGTTCTGCCAGTTGGCAAGGCTTTTTAAAAAACAGGGTTGGAGGGAAGTGGGCGGGGGATGGGCTGGATGGGTGATGGGTATTAAAGAGGGCACTTGTCATGAACACTGAGTGTTGAATGTAACTGATGAATCACTGAATTCTACTCCGGGAACCAATATTGCATTGTATGCTAACTAAAATTTTAAAAAATGTTTACACATATATTGTATATTAAGTGCACTTATTGTATTCTCAATTGTTTACTTTCTACTTGACTCTTTCCATATGGCTTGTCAGGCCTGTAGTTTCTTGTTCTTCCACCTAATTTTGATTTCCTATTTTCCCAATATGTTAAACATTAAATGTACTTCCAATATTTGAAAAAATAAATAAAAATAATCAAGGAAATGCAAACCGGAAGCTGCAGTGAGATTTCATTTTAAGCCCTCCACGTTAGCAAATTAAAACCCATTTGAAAGAACAGGGTATGAGGGAGGATGTTGTATACTAATGGAAACTTATGCGCTGGTGGGGAGAGTATAAATTGGCACCTACTTTCAGAAAACATTTTGGCGTTAAGTTGTCGTGTTGAAATTTCATGTGGTTATTCCATCTTTAAGGTACACCTATAGGAAACTCTTGGACCCATGTGGTCCAAGAAACATGTCCAAAGGTGTTTTTAGTAATAATGTACATAACAGTGCAACCAACAAGCCAAAGGTTCATCAACAGAGAATGGGTGAATATATGCTCACATGATCGAATACAGCTGTGTATATGAATTACAGCTATTCCAGTAACAAAAATTAACTTTTAGAAACAACGTTGAGTCAGTATCAGTTAAAAAATGAATCTAGGGGAGGGGCAAGATGGCGGAGAAGTAGGGAGCTCCGTACCTGCACTCGCGCCCAGGCATGACATGGAAAAGATCTGAAGCCATCAGAAACCATA